TTTCGCCACGAGCTAATTTCTAAATCTGGCTCAGTAGTGCTGCGTGCTAGCGAAGAATGTTAGACACTTCGTCGCAAAAGGCTTGGCGCCTCTGCTCGTTCTCCAATTGGCGGAACGCAAACTCTGCACGGTCATCAGACCAATTAAGGCGAGATAATAGCAAACATAAATATTAAGAGATATTCATGTCCCTCTTGATAAGTGCGATCATGCAAATTGCTTACCTTTTGAAAAAAACACTTAAGCTCCTTTTGCAACTCCAACTACAAAACAATAGTTTGAATTCCCTTCTCCACCACGGCCGTTGGCAGACCCGCACGATGATCAACGCTTTTACACGGAGCATTTATCAATCCACTGTGACGTAAAGGGATAGCGTACGGGTCATCTTTTTCTCTAATGCGGCTATCCGCCGTCGCACGACAGCTGTGAGCATCACGCCCTGCTTATGATTGAAGTTGAGGTTACCATAAATTATTTCGACAAGATACATCCGATGACTCGAAAGGGCCATAGAAAAACACACGCTCCATAGCGCTGGTAGATAGATTAAAAATAAGCAATCGCATCGCACATCTCAGAAAATATGTGCACCCTACCACAGGACGATAATAAGGGAGTACATGCTCCTTTAGTTGCGCTGCGTGTTGTCCAAACAACACAGGCATGGGTACTTTCACGTGAAACATGAATTTTCCGAGTAACTAGACCGATGGTGCAACCTGACTTTTGCATTGCATAAGTTGGTTTTTTTGAACTTGACGCCAGCTGCGTATTTTTTTGAATCCAGGCATCACGCTCAAAGTGCTGTACATTGAAAAAGAACTGTTCCACGCTTGTAGCATTGATCTGTTGTCTCTTTTGTTGGTGCCTATCTACCAACGAATATTGAGAAAGCATCGTTATAAATGTCTTCTTCGGCGCGAAAGCTGCTCACTCTGATGTCGAGGCTGTGCAACCGCCTTGCACCGATAATTTGGATTTGATGATGTTACCTTGTCTAGGCTAATAAAAAATAAAGCTTTTCTGGTAGTAATGATTGCTTGTATTCAGGCACTAGACGCAGCACCTTGCCGTCTTAATCATTTTACGTGGTACAAACGTAAGCTTTGGTACCACTACAACTGTCGTCACGACGTCGCAAAGCATCATCACATGGGCAAGGAGCTAAAAAGGCCGGGATTGATTCACAGGACTCTTTCTCCGAACACATCAGTCTCTTGTAGTGACCTTGAGCCTTTCTTTTCTCTCGTGTCTCATTCGTAGTAATTTTAGTGGTCGCCATTTGAGACTCAGTCGACCTAGGCGTATTCTTCTAATCGGACCACCGTCCAACTCCCCTAAATAGATGGGTTCAGCTGCGGAGACAGTTTGATGATTGGCAATCGGTCACACACTACGCGCCTCTGCGGCGACTGGCACTGCAGGATTTTTTTTGGTCAAGCAGACGAAACATCGTCTGCATCCACAGGCAGAGCTTCGTCAACAGCAGCCGGCCGTGTGAGCGCAGCTGCCTTCTCAGCAGCTTTCGCCGCGCATCGCATGAAAATGTTGAGGGTGCGATGAAGATCCAGAAACGAGTGAATCAGACCAGACAAATGCCCTCTGTCCCTGATGTGGTCTTACGAGGACCACATCAACATGAAAGGTACCGAGTGAATATCTTTTAGTTGGGGGTAAAACCGCGTGATCCTGTTACATTTAATTAACCTTGATACATGTTAGTTAAATGTGATTTTATAAATGTTGAGAACGGTCGTGAATATTAACATAAGGGGTAATATTCAGGTTCAGTCAGCTATTGGCTGATATGGTCCGGCTCTAGTAGTCCAGTAAAGATAAATGCGCGCAGTGAGTGGTGAGCAAGACTTAAGCATACGCTAATGTAGACATTAAAATTAGGATCGCACTAAACATAGGTGCAAGTTTAATGGAATTAGCTAATAATTTTAAAGATTTACTTTCAACTTCCATTAAGCGGTTCAACATTAGCTAGCCTTCTCTTATAGTACGGTGTACGTGACGTGCGGCTCCGCCTATACTGTTGCAGTGTATGTGCACAATTACTGACGCAGTACTAATGACCAGCACCCCATCACAAGTTTTCCGTATTTGCGAAGGTCCGGCACCTGCAAAACTGAAATATCAGGGCAGTTACCGTCTCAATTGGTGAAGCTGTCCTCATCAATCTACACGCACCTACGTTACGGCCGAAACATAAATTACTCACACTAATTTTTTCTTCTGGAATTTGGACAAGTTTGCCACAACGATTCTCAGTGAAGACTTCAAGTGTGTTTTAGATTCCCTTCAGTAATCGATGTGGGCATCGCCGTGCTAGCGGTTAGGGGTCCGGCCCTCTACGCTTCCATTGAAGCTACTGAATTAGAAGATGCGAGAGTATTGAGCGACCATGCCGAGGACGGTTTCCACGACGACTTTAAAGACTATTTCACCTACTGGGTAGGTAAATGCTCCAGTCGTATTGACCGAGTTTATGTCCCTGCCACATGGTCAGACAGAATCCAGTGAATGAAGACACAGATCTCGTCTGATACGTCGGATCGTCAGGAGGCAATTCTCTGCTTGCGCGACCCGTGCAGCCCTCGACATCGTGCTTCTCTTTTTCCGGTGACGTTATCTAATTAATGCATCACACCCTTACCTCGTGATTACTAGGTTCGTCAAGATAATGGACGGCATGTTCATTAGTCAGGCTGTCACTACAGCGAGAAAGAAATTGATCTTGACAAATGTAATTGCTGTATCTGTCGGGTTGGTAAAAGGGTAAAGCAACGCCGGACACGGCTCTGGCAGAAATGTAGGCGACGTTTTTAATGGCAATTACTAAATGGTACACAATGGATACTTGTTAACACGGAAGAATCGAGGCAGAAAAACCTCGTGTGTCTTTTTCAAAATATCTTCGAGTCGACAAATTTCCTCCGTTCGTTCTCCTGCATAATTGTCGACTGGGAAAGCGATCAACAAATCACGACGATATCGTAGCACCATGGATCGTCATATAAACACAAAATGACTCAAGAAAAACTTGCATTAGAATGGTCGACTGTTTTCGTTATTTACACTGAATCTAGACATTAGACGGGTCAGCAGAGGCCATTGGACGCTTTGCGACGTTTTAAACCAAGCGCTTCCGGTCAACGGAGGAAATACTGGTCTTTTAGACTAGATCAAGGACGTGGACGTTTTCTCGGAGATTGAAGGGTTTACCTTTCACCAATAAGCTAATATATGTGCTGTGAACAATGCCTGTAATAGAGATAAGCCATCTTTAAATGTTCTAGCGCTTGGACGGGTAATCAATTAAATATTGACAGGCTGATCCTCGACCTTCTTTTCTGAAAACCCTCATAATTTCTGTGAGATAAAAAGACGATTTCGTGGATGCGATACATTATCGACATATTTTTTCCCAAAAAAATTCACAATTATGTTGCAAAGGTACTAGCAACATGATAACGATTCGTCCTACCCAAACCTTTTGGCAATTCGCAGCAAAGATTTCTATACGAGAGGCGGACATTAAACTAATTGATAATGATAATCTCGCAGCTTGTTATGGCTACTACGCACAGTGATTAATGCCTCTGAAAGCCAGGTAATCATTCTTCTGGACTCTCGAAAAACGTACGAAACAGCAAAATGGTAAATTTTAGCGGAGCTACCACAGCTCTAGAGTCAGAGGAAGACTTTTAAGTTAAGCCTTAGGCTTACGACTAGCTGACAATTAGTTCTAAGGAACTAATACATCAATTTATGGAGTCGGCTAGTTCTACGGAATTTAGCGCGGACTCCATGAGTTGTTAGCTCAGACTAGTGTAGTTCTAAGGAACTACACGCATAATGTGCAGAGGGGGAACACAGAAGTCTGAGAACTCGCTAGCCCACTACAGTTCTACGGAACTTTCATACGCAAGGTTTGAAAGGGGGAAGTTAACGGACTTCTGCTCAAAATGAGAACTGAGTTTATTCAGATTTTACATCAAGGAAAATCCTAATTGAAGTACCCTATGCATATTATACTAAAACTAGAACTGATACACATAGTAGTATTCGAGCTAAATTGGATGGTTGGCACATCACTCTGTCATCAAATGATGACGATACGAAGTACTTCCACGTTAATTATCGTAACTCAGAGAATACTGACTAATCGATAATATCTATTTATACGAAATCTCAGGCCACGCATGTCTTCCATTTTACACATGGGAAAATTTTAACCAATTTAGCCAGTGGTTTAGGGGACTCCGTTACACTCTTTGCCAATATTGTGAAACAGTCGTGCACATATGCTAATAGAGAAGTATAGCTTAAGACTGGGATCTCGTCAGCAACCGGTCGGTTAAAGTTTCGGTCTGTGCATTGTGTATAAAAATCTCGTTTTTTTACATAGTGACTGGCGAGATCCCTATGGACTCGGTTTTTTCGTCACTTTTAGTCGTTTCCAGCCGGTGTATTTTACTCAAAGAGATAGGAAATGCTTTATGGAGCTGTTTACATAGCTGTAAACTGTTTATAGCTGGTTAAACGATTTAAAGCGGACATAAGACATTACAAGTTGTTGTAAAAGATTATTAGCAAAGATCTAACGACGATTTTGGTGCAACGGTTAATATCTGAGTTACGGTCATGGAACTATATATCTAAGATTTCTTTATACTAGTAAATACATGCAAAGATTATACGCTAAGATGCATTTCTGAGATTTATTATAATTAAGAGTACTATTTATATGGTAGAGACCTTAAGAAATTGTATGAAGCAGTGTACCCTGGATGGACAATCACCACAAGATTATCAATCACGATTGCCCATTCTTGGTGTCCCAATAGTTATTGAATTAGCCATTGCATACCCTTCCCAAAGTGGCTCTTCATAACAACATCATAGGAGTGAAGCGTGATGAATGGACAATTTAAATAATAGTCACCAGTGCGAATGTATAATTAGGGGTTTATGCTAGCAAAAAGACACTACAAACTCGCACTTAATGTCGTCGGACCATTCTTCACCTTGTAATACCTTCCATACAGGGAAATGATCGCTCCGAAGAATTCTGAATCTTGCAAGACAAGTGGAAACACCACCTTCTCTTCAACATACTTAGGTGTCCAACCCCTCGCGGCCATGTCTTGCATCATGTAGATCAACAACTTAATACCCTCTTCTCTATAAGCAAAAGTACGTAGAGCGGAATGGATGGTGGCAACGAGGTGCCGTTCATTTTTAGGAGACCGAAGTGACAGAAACATAGCAAGGTCAGGGTCACCTTCCGCATCCTTCATGAACTGCTTCAAGGCTTTACCGTACTTCTTAGGGGAGAGGAATTTTCCTGCATTTTTCAAATCACGAGCATGGATTTTAGCAGCTGGGTCCACTGTTAACGGTGGTAGAGCGACTACCAGGAAAGACTTAAAGCCGACTTGTTTCTTGATTTCATCCCAGTTGGTCACCTTGTGCATTGGTGGTGTAACGGGGTGAATCGTTACATAACAATTTATAAGAAATTGTTAATAGAATATAACTATAAGAGTTATATTCTCAGAATATTGTCATAAGGACAAATATTCTGTAGCACTTACAGGTAGTTCCTAATTGGTTGATATAGGCCATTATATCAACCAACGAAGACGCGCCACGACAGACGCACGCAATGAGTGGTGAGCAGATAATTGATTTACACATTTGTATTTAGACATAGTTAGATGAAGATAAATAGTGATTTATTGCAGACATTAACTATTATAAATACAGTTCTACTTTTTACTCTAACCAAGTACTCGCTTCTTCTTACCGTCTTCCTCTGCACGTACGAGTGTACGTGACGTTACGAGGCACCGCCTTATTCTGTTATCAGAATAAGTAGCTTGTACTGTCACCAGTACAAGCTTCAGGGTGCCCCGTTACACCTGGTAGCACTTCGTAGTCCGTCCAAGGACCGCGTTCACATCCAACATGAATATCTTGGATGATGAAGATGACCAAAGCTTTCACGCTACGCGTGACGGCTACTCCCATTTGAGCGATGTCGAATGGGATGCGGTTGAACGAATGGGTTCGACCATGGGCATCCATGCTGTTAGCGTCATGCTAGAGGCTCTCAATAGAGACGCCCAACATGCTACTATCGCCAAGTTCATCCAAAATGAACTTGACGCTGAACGCGAGAAAGTAGCCTTGCTTCACCAACAAGGTTCTCAACAAGCAGAGTTGTTGAGAGAACAAGGTGCTCAACAGTTTGAACTGTTGAGACAGCAGCAGGCTGCTGCTGGCGGGTCGATGCACTCGCGTCGGCCCGAGACTTTGAAGATTGACATCTCAAAGTATAGAGGGGTCGAAGAAGACTCCCTCTTGAGATGGTTCGTCGAATTGGATGACGCCATAAGGGCGCGTCGCATCGACGACGGGGATATGCAAGTTGCATTTGCCCAATCAAATCTGGCAGGACGTGCCAAGACTTGGGCACTGGGGCTCAAGCTGCACGACCCATATGCGTTTGGGTCGTTGGAAGTCTTCAAGTCGCGGCTCAGACAAACGTTTGAACCGCCTAGAGCTGAGTTCAGGGCTCGAACCGAACTCTTGAAGCTCAAGCAGGGTAAGCGTGATGTGCACGCTTACGCTCAACATATACGACATCTTACGAGTTGTATAAGTTCCAATCCAGTGGATGAACACACGTTGGTTTCGGTGTTCATGCAGGGTCTTGCGGATGGTCCCGTCAAGACTCACCTGTTCCGGCTTGAACTAGATTCACTAGAACAAGCCATTTCCATTGCGGAGCAGGAAGACTTCAGTCTGAGACAGGCTCGCGCCAGCTCGACATCATATCGTCAACCGAGACGATATGACAACGGAGGTCCAGAGCCGATGGAACTCTGTTATGTAGAGAGCGAGAAGGTTCGCTCTACAGGCTACAAGAAGTTGCAGAGATGCAACAGATGTCAAAAGACAGGACACTACGCTTACGAGTGTAGTGCCCCTCGTCCAGTGTCTCGCGACACTGGGCGTAGTGACCGTCCACCCATGAGAAAGGGGCAGGGACGAGGGTCCTCTGTTGGTGCAAAGACGCAACAACGGGATGGACCGTCAAAAAACGGACAGGATCAGTAGGTGCGGAGCACCCTACTGATCCAGCAACGTCAAGAGAATTTGTAGGCCTCTTGATGAAGGTTGCTCCCAACACACAGACGTTGTGCGTTGCTGCTCTAGGTAATGAGATCTCACTCATTACCTTGAAACTCGAAGTGACGAATAAGTTGTCCCTTCGAGCTCTAGTCGATTGTGGGGCGTCTAACAATTTTGTGCGACGCCAATCGCTAGAAGATGGTCACTTTAAATTCAGTGAATGTGACACACCTCCCACGAGGATGACGGTACGTCTTGCGACAGGCGCATCCGTAACCGTCATGAAGCGTATAGTGAAGATTCGCTATACGCTAGAAGATACCCAATATGACGATGACTTTATCGTATTGGATTTGGATGACAAATTTGATGTCATCCTTGGAATACCGTGGCTCAGAAGGTACGAACCACGGGTAAACTGGCAACATCGGACAGTAACGATGCCTGCCGCTTGTTCATCAGATGGCCATCTGATGAACGTTTTGGAGCGTCCACAAGCGTGTGGATGTACTACGAGTGAGTGCGATGGCCTCACTTGTGGTACGGTCGTTAGTACGACTGCACAAAACCTTAGTGTACCAAACGGTTACACTTCGGAGCAAAGTTCCGGCGGCTGTGAGGAAACACAGGCTGCGCCGAAGGTCCACCACTCGAATAAGTCGGGTGGACTGGGACAAAGATGTATCCCTAGAGGGGAACATCTAGAAGAGAAACAATCGATCGCTCAGGTTAAGCGAAACGATAATCCTAGATCGACTGGAGAGTCTTTCGTAGAGGATCTCGCTGTGGTTGCGCAACCCCAGCTAGAGGAAATAAAGGGAATAAGTCCCAAGATTACAAATACGGCGGAAATAAGTTCCCCGAAACCCGCGGGAATAAGTCCCCGGGAAGACGAAGGAATAAGTCCTTCGAAGCCTGAGGGAATAAGTCCCCAGGAAATGACAGAGACATTGAATGTCATAGTCAATAACGGATCATGTGTAGGCGCTTATACACTTGATCTGATTGCGCCTCCGAAGTTGACTTCGGAGATCACTCAGTTGCCAACGCTCGAACATAAAAGGTTCTTGCGTGATCTGCGTAGTGGCAAAGTCAAGCAGATCTGCATACTCGTCGCTGACGACGAGTGTGTAACCGACATAAGGTCAGCAACAGTGTTTACTGAGAACGAGAGAGTTCTCAGTAGTTCATCTATGGACGAGAGTGTCCTAGATGAAAAGACACGAATTGAGCGATATGAGTCCCAATCATGGGAATCGCTCAAGAAAAATCCTCTCTATGAAGATTTGGTTGAATTCAAGGATGTATTCCCTGAAACTGTTCCGTGCGAATTACCGAAGGATAAAGGTATTCGACACGAAGTCGAGCTTAAACCAGGCTCGAAGTACTGTGTCATGAAGCAGTGGCCACTGCCTCGTGAACAAGTACTTGCGATCGACAAGTTCTTTGCCGATCGTTTAGCAGCGGGCCATGTGAGGGAATCAACTTCCCCACATAGCTCTCCGACCTTCTGTGTGCGAAAAGCAACAGGAGGGTGGCGGATAGTGCACGCGTTTAACAAATTGAACGCTGCAACGGTACCGGCTCAGACGCCGATACCGAGGAAGGACGTAATCATTGATGGTATGTCAAAGAGTACCATCTTTTCGTCCATGGATTTGATGGATGGCTTCTATCAAATCCTAATGCGGGAACGGGATATACCCTATACCGCAGTTAGCACGCCTAGTGGCATGCTCTGGGAATGGCTAGTAATGCCACAAGGGCTTAGTAATGCCCCTGCCACGTTCAACAGATGTGTATCACATCTGTTGAGACCAGTACGAGAATTTGCGCCGAGTTATTTCGATGACGTATTCATCCATAGTCGAGCTATGGATGGAAAGTCGGACGTTGAGGTTCACAGGTACCACGTCCGACAAGTTCTTACAATCATGCGAAAGCATCAATTGTATGCAAACCTCAAGAAGTGTATATTTGCAGCAAGCGAAATACCACTTCCTGTGTGCATCGTTGGTAAGAACGGTGTACGTCCTGATCCCGAAAAGATCAAGGCGATCACCGACTGGCCTGTGCCGGTCGATGTCAAAGGTCTTCGAAAATTCCTTGGGCTAGCGGCGTATTTGCATAAGCATTCACGCAATTACGCCGAGATGACTGTGCACCTCTCTCGTTTGTTGAAAAAGAACTAGAGGTGGTTATGGAACGCTGAATGTCAACGCTCCTTTGAGGGTATCAAGCAGAGCTTGATACAATCCCCAGTCCTAGCAATAGCCGATCAGGACAGGCCATTTCATGTGGTCTGTGATGCCAGCGATTTCGCAATCGGCTGTGCATTAATGCAGTACGATCTTGAAGGCGTTGAACGCGTCGTGTGCTATCAGTCGCGTCAGCTGCAACCAGCTGAGCGGAACTATCCAGTGCATGACAAGGAACTCCTTGCCATGAAGTATGCACTCGCGAAGTTCAGAGTCTATCTATTAGGAGATAGACCCTTCGTTGTTTACACTGACCATGCGTCATTACGCACGGCAGTGAACAGCCCGCACCTTTCACAACGAATGGCGCGGTGGTTGTCATTCTTTGCGGAATACAACTTTACGGTCGAGTACAAACCAGGACGACTCAATGTCGTTGCTGATGCACTCTCACGTCGTCCCGAATTTGAAACAGTCGCGAAACCCAACAGCGAGACAGTCACTGTTGCGGTTATGACGTCCTCAGTCCCATCTACAATGTTGTATGATGATGTGAGGCGGGCATACGCCCAAGATGGTGAGATAGTGAAGTTGTTGTCACATCTCTCCCAACCATCCCGAGAATCGTTGAAACGATTGTCGCCTGCGTATCGATCTGCATCAGATCGATACACTACTCGTAACGGTTTACTGTATTATACAGCCGTTTCTGGTGACACACCACGTGTTGTCATCCCAGATGATACTGATCTGCGTTTGCGGATCATGTTCGAGTATCACGATGCTCCTATAGGAGGACATCGTGGCCGAGAGAAAACATATCTCACGGTAAGTCGAGACTTTTACTGGCCCCGCCAGTATCAGTTTGTGCGAAAGTATGTTCGCGCATGCGAAGTCTGCCAACGAGTGAAGTCAAGTCCTTCACTGCGTGCACCTTTACAGCCTCTACCGGTTCCGGCTGAGTGCTGGGAATCCATCTCAATGGATTTCGTCTTCGGGTTACCCAAAGACGCACGCGGGAATACGGGTATTCTCGTATTTGTTGACAGATTCAGCAAAATGGTACACCTTGTGGCTGTACCAGAGACAATCACGGCAAGTGGCTGTGCTTGTGTCTTTATTGACACCATCTTCCGACTTCATGGGTTGCCCCGTGAACTCGTATCAGACAGAGATCCACGATTCACTGCTGATTTCTGGCGTTCCGTGTTCAAATCACTCGGAACGCGCTTGAAGATGTCAACATCTGATCATCCAGAGTCAGATGGTCAGACGGAACGTGCCAATCGTGTCCTTGAAGAGATACTTCGAGGATACGTACACTTCTTTAAGAGTTGGAGTGAGTTTTTGCCAATGGTAGAGTTTGCCATCAACAACTCGGTGCATGCGTCCACGACACATACACCGTTTTACGTGAATGGCTTGCGCCATCCGCGTGTACCCACCTTACTAGAGTGTAACTCTGGTTCAAGGGGGGGAGGGACTCGCGCGAGCAAAAACCGATTTGGTTCACGCTCATCACGCTCTGACGAGGAAGTCATTGCGTTTGATGCCGATATCGATAACATCGATATCGAAGAAGATGATCCCAGTGAGAGTGCGGAAGCCCTCACTGAAGAAAAGGTTGTTGTTGCTGCAGTGCGCTCACAGCACACTGAAGCTAACGAGTCATCAGATGAGTTTATACTGGCTCGTGAAACGGTAGTCCGTTTTGTGCAAGACTCCATCGCCGAAGCGGTGGATAAGCAAAAGCAAAACGCTGACAAGAATGGAAGGGCAAACACTCTTTTATTTAATAAAGGTGACTTAGTCCTACTGTCTACGGTTAATCTACCAAAGCATGTAGTGACTAACTTGGGTAGCAGTAAACTACTACCCAAGTACATTGGCCCATTTCGTGTATTGCACCGCCTAGGCAATGCATACACGATCGAGTTACCACGTAAGATGCGAACGCATCCCACGTTTTACGTTGGTCGGCTTAAGCCGTACCATCAGTACGCTGCTTCTTCCGATGAAGAACGCCCTTGCGCTCAAGCATCTCGCAGAGAGCCTTGTGCTCCCGATGGTGGGCATCAACAAGGGTCTGAAGAGCAGCTATCTGATCCCGAGACCGATCAACAATCCCACGAGCTACCCTTAGCTCGTCACGAAGAGATGTCAGAGCTCTCTCGTTCTCAAGCTGAGCAAAGGCAAACTCAGCTCGATGCTTCGAGGCAGTGTCCACCATCTGGAGACGCCTATTCCGCTCATGCTCGAGATCGTCGCGTAACCCTTGCGTTACGCGATCAAAGAAGCTCTCGGGAACACACCGATCCACATGATCGTGTGGAGAGCGTCTTTCCTCCTCCTCCACCTCCATTAGAGGACTCTCGCGGTGGCCAGCGCTATCTAGTTGAGCAGCTGTTGAACCACCGCGACGTGAACGGACGTCGGACGAGTTACCTCGTCCGGTGGCGCGGCTATCCCCCGTCCTGGGATTCTTGGGAGCCCCGCTCCCAATTGATGGTTGACGTAGAATGCCTTCTTTTCTGGAGCGAGACGCAACACATTGCGGTCCCGCTCTTCCTGCGACGTGCCGACAGAAGTACTGGCACCTCGCTGTGAAGTGGTGTCCATTGGAGAACCGACACCACTATTAGCGCCCGAGTCTCGCGACCTCGAGCGCCTTCGCTTCGGCGATGGTTCATCTGACTCATCAGATGAACCAAAGATGCTGCGACGCAAAGCATCGTCCATGCCACGCTTGGCAGGCGGCTTAGATTCAATCGCCGTCGATACGGATCCGTCATCCGTATCAGGAGAGTACGAGACACCGAGCTCGTACTCTGTGAAGACACGAGTGTCTTCATGACCAGCGCCTGCGTCACCAAGTGACACAGGCTGGGTCGCTTCAGCAACCGATGAGACATCAGTTGCTGTTGTTTCTGCTTCGGCGTCCGCACAGAGACGTGCAGACGCGCTCTCGGCGGCCTTGCTCGCGCATCGCATGGGCTTGTTTACCATGCGATGAAATGTTGGAAAGTGGACGCGGACCAACAAGTGCAAACCCTGTCCCAAATGATTTGGGACGAGTATCCATTTAGTCAATCAGTCACTAAAGTGACTGATGGTTAAGGGGGGTGATGTAACGGGGTGAATCGTTACATAACAATTTATAAGAAATTGTTAATAGAATATAACTATAAGAGTTATATTCTCAGAATATTGTCATAAGGACAAATATTCTGTAGCACTTACAAGTAGTTCCTAATTGGTTGATATAGGCCATTATATCAACCAACGAAGACGCGCCACGACAGACGCACGCAATGAGTGGTGAGCAGATAATTGATTTACACATTTGTATTTAGACATAGTTAGATGAAGATAAATAGTGATTTATTGCAGACATTAACTATTATAAATACAGTTCTACTTTTTACTCTAACCAAGTACTCGCTTCTTCTTACCGTCTTCCTCTGCACGTACGAGTGTACGTGACGTTACGAGGCACCGCCTTATTCTGTTATCAGAATAAGTAGCTTGTACTGTCACCAGTACAAGCTTCAGGGTGCCCCGTTACAGGTGGGTGCAGTTCTGGATATGGGCCGGCTAAAGTAGCTTTCACGGCAGCACTCGCACTGGTTAAGCCGTTGTCGTTGGTGACAGGGTGAGCCTCAGCATCAGCATTCCGGACATGAAGCGTGCCTGATTCGACAGAAGGCTGGCCAAGCTTCCCCACAAAGTTAACCTTGGCGATGCTTTCAGTTCGAACGTCCGGTTCAGGTCTCCGGACTGGGCGCGTGCCTGAGACGACAGGGGGCTCGCGAACTTCCGCCATGACAGGTTGGCGAGACAGTCCGAAGGGCTGAGGAAATTTGGACCTGATCCCGTTAAACCAGTCAACCAATTTTATGAAGAAACCGACCGAGGCTTCAGCCCGTGCCTCTAGACCTTGATAGGACGCATGGGCACTTGACACACTGTCCGCGGTCGTATATTTCTGAGCTTGATCATCAGACGTTGCGACCACTTGTTCGGTAGGGATTGAACAGCAAGCACGGTTGATCAGTAGCACTGCACTCACGAGGAGGACAAACACGTGGAAAGATGACATGACTTGGCAGTCAGAACGATTGATCAGATGAGGGCGAAACGAGAAATGAGCAGATTTAGCTGTCTTTCGTGCTTCAATATTTCCGATTGTAAGAACCGTTAAATTCTCGAGTATGTTTGTTCATCTCTTATAGAAATCAGCACAGAGGCGTCATAGCCACTGATTCTTGTTGACTTGGCTATGCTATGGAATCAGTTTGGGGACCCTGTCGCCACTTCTTTTTATCATTGGTTTACTATGCGATCGTAGTGAAGGTTTCTGTGGACAAGCCATTATCATGCATTAGCTATAATAAATCAGATCAGGGGCTTTACAGCCACCGATTTTTCAATTACAAAGCTATCACATGGAGTCGGTGTAAGTGCCGTACAGTCACTTTTTTTGACAGAGCTTTACTAAGAAATTGTTATCGCATCTCTGTGGCCAGCATTTTCGTTTAATTGGCAGTACCAAGAATCAGATTAAGGGTTTTTGAAGCCACTGGTGTGAATTGCTCAGTTATATAATAGAGTCGGTGCGCGTGCCCTGTAGCCATATAATTTTAGATTTCTAAGCTTAATTATGAGTTTAGAGAGAGGGATTTCAAGCCAACGATTTTAGATTACTAAGCTATGCTATAAAGTCAGTGCGAGTACCCTTCAGTCACCTATTTTTAAGAAGCTTACTATGAAGTTACTTTGAGGCCTCTGTGGCCAGCGACGATCGTTTCATCGGTTATCAGAGGAATCACACTAAGGGTTTCTAGCCAACTGATTTCAGATTACCCAGGTACACGAACGTGCTCGTCTGGGTGCCGTGTCACCCCAATAAATTAGATGAATTTTTCAATAAGGTTATTTCGAAAGCTTTGAGGCCGCTGATTATAGTGCTCTTAATTACACACTATTTAATTACACTCTATGAAAACCTCGAGGTGCTGTAATTCTTAATAAAAGAAAGTATACAATAAAATTGGTGTAAGGCTTTGTTGCCGCCGACTTTCGATCACGTAATGTATGAAGAAACTAGTTTTAGGTATTTTTAGCCATGACGTTTATACCGACTTGGTCCCACAGTCCTCCCTCGGCTGACATTTCAGTCTCGGGAGACACAATTTCCCATAGGTTATCACTGGCTCAATTCTGGTGGCGTTTTCCAATACCTTAGCAAAGTCAATGATTGAAAGATTAAACGTGAAAGCTCCATCAGAACAACCCACTCCACTTTCACCTCCAAATTCAAATTTGCCCGAAACCAGCAGAATTTTAGCCATAGGATCACCAACACATGTCCGCGCCTTAAGTTTAAAATCAAATCTGCTCCAGGTTGTGCCTCAACATCTGAGACTTGTAGACATCCTGGTTGTTTGCTGGGGTTGGTCTTTATTGTTGGGAGGAGCAAACCGTAGTTTTATTGGCTATTTTTCCATCAGTGGGAATTTAAACTTTATCGAAGAAGAAGATAGAGCTGACACAGAGCTGAAGAGATCCTCGAAGGCGTACAGAAGTAGAATCGAGAAAAAAAGGTTTTTTAGCAGAGAAAGAGTCGTTTGACAGAGACAGAGTCAGTTCCAGACATATTCGCCAAGTCCTAAAAGATCACCATCTTAGGTAGTGCCTGTACGTTAAATTATATGTCCCAGGCAACCCACCATGCTGCCTACAAACTACCCCGCAGCCTTCAGACTGGCACTTTGCTGTGCCAACATCACACGAAATACCGTCGAAGCTGGGCTTGAATTTGTAACCCACCCCCACATTAGATACAAATTGTCCCTCTATACACCGATATCTATCTCTATGAATACGGCGACACGGAGTGAGGTGGTCTTGGTTTGACGAGACTGTTGTCCAGGAGTGCCACGTCCAGCTTGAGGGACGCATCCATCGTGTCCATAGAGACAAGGCTTTTGCAGCAGCCCTGACTCCCCAAGTCTCTCGCTTCATGAGGAGCTGCTGTATGAATCGAAGGAATTCGGAACTGACGCAAGGGCGTCGGTGCTAAAAAGACTTGCGAGTTCGATCTCGGCGATGGGACTACTGATATGTGAGACGAAAGACATTCAAGGCGTCGGTCAGTCAAGCAGCACCAACCAGCAGGAAGAGTACAAAGCTGCGACTAATGGTCGGATGAGCTCTTTGTGAAAGCTGACCGCTTAAAGCTCAACAAATGAAGGTGGTGGTGGTTTTGGTGGTTTTGGTGGTGGTGGTGACTACCAGATCTTCTGGATCTATTATGCTGAAAAAGAGCTAGGAGACAGCTAAGCTGTACAGCGTGCCGCTCGTAGCGGTCGCGATATCGAGAGATTACATCAGTCCAGCAAGCTGGTTCGAATCGACGTTGAAGGAGACTAAAGTGGACGAAACGTGCAGCGTCTTCCAGCACTGTTCTACCGACTAGGCGATCGTTCCTGCTTGTTTCCCGCAATGTGCGTGGTGAATGCTGACAGGTGGTCAATGGTCGTGGTGGTAACGAGACAGTGATGACTGACTGATTGATTGATTACTAGACTATCTTCGGTGCATGTGTCTACCGGCGGTTGTCCCGCAATCGATTCAAATTGAAGCTGGTATAGTTTCGTGCTGTCATAGCTGTCGAGAAAGCACAGTGGCGACCCCGGCTCTTCAGGTAGGGAAGGTCGTCCTTGACACCTTTGTGTTGTCGTCAGTTGTAGGATATTCGATGGTAGTCGCTACTGCGTAAACAATCCTTTGGATGATGCTACCCTGCTGGCGAACCTACCTCATTCGTCCAAGGGGTTTTACCAGGTCAAGTTTTGGCCGAGCTGCTAGTGCGACCGACAGTTTCGACTGCTTGGCACAATCGTTTTTGGTCTCATCCTATAACAAGCAACTCAGTGTTGTAACGATACGAAGGTTTGTTCCGAGAAGCATTTTTCGATTACGCCTGACGGCCATGGGATGTTTTATTTAGCGTGTCCGTCCAGCCAGATGCGTTCGCTTTCGGCGGCTAACTCAGTCTAGCAAAAGATGTTACAGTACGATATTTTACAGACTAACTCTATCATGTTCAATTACAGTGGTCGATTGCTATAACTGCCACATCGGCTTTTAATAAGAGCGCTCAATCTCCACCAACCATTCTCAAGTATGCTGCATCGTAGTGTCACACGTCTCGCCTGCGGATTGCGCTCTATGTCGTTGGCCCTCGCACGTCCATCGGCACCCAAGCGCTTTGTTCCCACAACGACCCGCTATCAGTCTCATTCTCGGGCTCCGCATCGCTATTGCTTCAAAAATGGAGATTTGTGGCCGCTACTGCAGTAAACACGAGTGCTTCGTGTGCTTTTTGCTCGACTGCTGCTTCAGTTACGGATACGGTCAATACGAATAGAGCAGTGCCAAAGGTGGTGCGCTATCAGTACGAACCGTGTCCCTATTGCTGCAAGGTGAAGGCTGTACTGGACTACCTCAAGCTCCCGTACGACGTGGTGGAAGTCAATCCACTGACCAAGAAGGAGACCAAAGCTGTGATCAGGTATGCCAAGGTGCCAGTTGTCACTATTGGCAATGACGTGGTCGTGGACTCTTCGGCAATTATCGCGCGACTGTGGGACCTGGTCGTGCCAGCTAAAAGCTCCCAGCTTGAGCATAAAGAGCCGCAGGAGGAGGAAGCCCAGTGGTGCCAATGGGTCGACCGAAGCTCATTGTCTTGACCCCTCCCAAAATATCTATCGCACGCTGCCGGAGGCGCTGCAGGCTTTCGACTATTGCTTGACCGCTGGAAACTTCACGTCCATGGAACGTCACTTGTCCAAGTACGTCGGGGCAATGGTGATGTACCTCATTGCCAAGCGGTCGAAGAAGAAATACGGTATTGACGATGAGCGACTGACGCTGTATGCGGCTCTGAATAGCTGTGCTGATGCGGTTGGTGACAAGCGCATGTTTCTTGGAGGGCATGAACCGAACAAAGCAGACCTCTCGGTCTTTGGTGTCCTTCGTGCGATGCACGGCCTGGACACGTACAACGACGTGATGCGTGAGACGAAGATCGGGCCGTGGTTTCGATGCATGACGGATAGGGTTGGCTCCAGCTCACGCACTGCAAGCAAGCAACTAGAGATCACGGTCAAGGAGTAAAGAACTTGATAGCAGATAGAGCCAACGAGCAGTTAGGATGCTATTCATATAGACAACTCACGCACAAGTCTTGCTGCAAAGGTTGCTCCGTCTATTCAGCAAAGACACCAGTCTTGGTCTTTGTCTTTTGAGGGCGGTGGTAGGCGATGCCCGTACCAGAGATATTGTCGCCCAGTCCAGCAGTGTAGTCAGGCTTTTTTACAAGCTAGCATTGGCACCAGGTGGCATTGAAAGTCAGCTTCTTGCCACGTAATGACCGGCGACAATGGATCCAGGTCGACCTTGAGATCCTGGCGTTCGCTCAATAGCTGCTCACGAGCCAGCAGCATCTCGACCCGTTCCGGGTCCACTTCCATTTCAGCGCTAGTACGCATCGACTGGGCCTCGTTCTCGTCATCAGAAGCACTGCCACTTCTTGGGACCGGCGGCTTGCCACACGCCACCTTGGAACGAATCAGTGCGCCCTGCACCAATGCTGAAGTCGGGTCTTCCCAGATACCCTTCTTCCTCTGGCATACAACGTGAAACTGGAGCGTATGGAAATGAATCCGCGACAAATGCGCTAACGCCACCGTCACCTCGTGCTTTCCATCGTCCTCCTCCCCCCGTCTGCTTGCCTCAACCGTCTCTCTCACATCCTTTGCAAACTGAATAATGCCATGCAACTGTGCACTAATCTCAGCAATCGTCGGTCGAGACGTTGTCGCAGTGCTTTCTTTCCCCGTCACTAAAAAGTGGTGCAGAATACACAGCTCCTGCTCATTCAGACCGATAGAATCCACCCATGGCAGCACCAAGCGCACCGTGTCCGAAAACAGCCCAAAGTCCGACACCGCAGCAAACTCATAATGCGTGGGTGTGTCAACTGCATGCAAATTCTGCAACACCCCGGCCAGTGCTTCGAGACGCAGGACCCGTGCACGTACATCTTGCTCAACTTCCATGAGCTGCAAGCCGCCAAAGACGACCAAGTCCGGCTCGAACGTCTCGAGCGCTCGCTCGAACTCTTCAAGCACCGACAACCGCGCATTGTGCACGTCATGGTTTAAAATAGCGATTCGCCCGTGGTGACACATGACCTCGAAAGGCGTCACCACGTCCGTACTCGAGCACCAAGTGCACGTCCTCTTTCCCCTCTCCCTCAATGGTCCCTACAAGTTGGATCGTCGAATCGTCAAAGTACTGCTTCATATGGACGCCCATTGCCGCGCCCAAGAGCACAGTGCACCCTTCAGCCGAGGCTCGAGCAGCCATAGTCGCGGCATTGCCGCCCACTTTCCGCTGGACGTCTGGCAGGGCATTAGCTAGTGCCACAATCTCGTGGAACGCAGCGGACGAGTTCATCCTCTGCTCAGCAGCAGCTCCTGAGGAAAAGTAGTAGACGAAACTCTCTTGGAGCTCCTGGAGCGAGTCGATGCGCTCGTGATGGCGCACCGGTAAGGCCAGAGACGTGGTCGCGTGCTGTGTCTGATGCTGCTGCTGGTGTTGCTGGAGTTCGACTTGGTGCATGAGGGCGACAGCTGGAACGGAGACGTCGAGGTCAGCGCTGCAGCAAAAGGCGATACGGGGAGGCGGGGTGGAGATTGTTGTGGTTAGGGGTTGGGGAGTTCGTGGCTGTGGATTGGTCCAATAGGAGGGGGATTTCGACGAATAGAAAACGAGTGAGGCCAAGAGCTGGTGCTGCTCAGCTACGCTGAGATGCGACGACGGACGCGTGGGCAGCACGAGTGTTGAGAAGAAGTCGGAGTAGAGCACGGCGAGTGCACAGAGTACGACGGACACGCTGAGCGCGAGGACCTGCGAGGCGCCGTACATAGGTGAGCGGGGGGATGCCCTGGATGCGCGGATGAGTTAGGTGATGGATTGGTTTTTTTTGAAGGGAGACTGGGGGTGAAGTGGGGGTTGGGGGGTCGGATTTGGGAGGGTATGTAGTGAGCGAGGTGTGCGACTTGGCCTTCTGTCGTCGTGATGCCATGTAAAAAGAAAGGACTATTTGATCTTGCAAATTACTGTGATGATATGAATCTGTTATGTGATCGACTGTTGTAATACTGACTTATTTTGCTGCACAATTCGAGTCATTTGTTAATTACTTTTAGAAAGAGTCCTTTTGATGGATAATGGACCTCTTATGCTGCACCATGTTCAGTTGCTGCAGCACGTTCGGTGATACGAACTTTCTGAAGATGATGATACTGTGGAAGATGATGAAGATCCTATTTTCATCGATATTAATGATGGGGATGAAGCGCCATATCACTCCTTTGTTCAGGATAGTGGAAATGAACCTCTAGAAGTTTATCGTTTACATCGCTCTATGCATGGCCTGATACTGAGCCTGAGCCACTTAACGAGTTCGGGGCCCTTTAACAGCTGCGATGATGTTTGTTGTATTACGACTTCTTAAATTCGCAGACCCCACCAAACCTGATTAATAGTTTGCCGTATCAGAGCATGAAGCAACTGCTCACCTACTTCGTTCTGCCGAAACAGATCCCCTTCATGTAAATCTATATTACTCATTTGCGGGGCTGATAAATTTAAATTCTGGATGAGCGACAGGATAAGACGTCATTGGACGCTGTCTTAATCTATCACTTTCCCAAATAAATTTCTGGAGATACAGCTCTGACAGTTATCCATTAACGCCAAACGACAAATTGCAATACTTTGGATATATTGATAAAAAGGCTCACTGCTTCGAACAGATTCTTACTGGCTTCAATTTTGACGCTCTGTTTGACCGTCCGCTTGTGCGCGGTGAGATGTCGTCATTGAAAGCCTAGTACCCATAACCGCCATGAGAGATCTCCAAAAGTTGGACGTAAATTTCGGGTCACGATAGCTTATGATGACCTTCGGTAGACCGTGATAGCGGACTACCACATCAAAGAAAAGTCTAGCAACTTGTGGCGCGTCGACGTTGGTGTGCGTGGCAGCATATCTTGGACGTTTCGATAGTTTATCAACTATAGTCATGATCGCGTCAAACCCGCTTGACACTGGTAGTCCCGTAATAAAATCCATCGATACAACTTCCCAACAGTCTTCTAGTATAGGTATTGGCATGAGCTTTCCATTTTTCTTCAGTGTGCTCGTCTTCCATCGCACACATGTACCACAGCTTGATACGTAATCGCGTACATCTTGTTCCAAGTTTGGCCAAAAGTACCATTGCGCCACCTTTAACTGAGTGCGACGTATTCCTGGATGTGCCGCTGTGTTCCCATCGTGATGTTCTCGGAGGATACCGGTGATCAAACGATTGTCCGATGGAACGCAGAGTCGATTGACAGCATGCTTTGTTTTCAGATAAAGAAGCTCATTCTTTAACACGTACTTCTCATGAACGTTGTTGAGAGCACTCTTAAATTCCTGATCATGCGCGTAGCCGACCTTAAACGACTTCTTCATCGCAGGGGAGAGGTGCACACTTGATACCACGAACTCGATGTGCTGAACTTGATCCTGCACGTGTACTTGTTGAATCTGATTTACACCAACGTGGTGAAGTACATTATCCACCTCCCGAAGGTCATGCACATCGAGCAGAAGGTCTTGATCGAGACGCGAGAGAGCGCACAGAGCTGCCAAGTGGACACCGTGACGACGCAGAGTTTTTTCGTGAATAACGCACTGCTGCCCACAGTCATGAATACGAGGCATTGAAACTAATAAACTGTCTGCGAGCGGAGTGACCCCGTTCGGCCGTGACAACGCATCGGCGACCACGTTGGAGGTGCCTTTGACATGGTGCAACGTAAAGTCGAATTGCGAGAAAAATGTCAACATTCGAGCCAATTTTGGTGTAACAATGGGATGATGAAGCATCCAGCGGCACGCAGTATTGTCTGTAAACACATCGAAAGAACGTCCATGTAAGTAATGGCGCCATTTGGAAAGAGCCGTCTTGATCGCTAATAGTTCTTGCTCGTGGGCAGGCCACGCTTGCTCATGAACCCCAAACTTCTTAGAGTAAAATGCAATGGGGTGATCTTTGCCATCCGCGATCTGGGACAGGACGCCACCCATGCAGCACCCGGAAGCATCTGTGGTGACAGTAAACTTGATCGCGAAGTTCGGTAGCTGAAGCACAGGTGCTTGTTGAAGGGCGACCTTTAAGTCGCGAAATGCTTTGTCTTGATCGTGCGACCACTCCCACCGCACTTCCTTTTTAACGAGCTTCGTAAGGGGTAGTGCAATTTGTGCGAAAGCACAGATAAACCGTCGATAGTATCCAGCTAATCCAAGAAAGCTCATTAGTTCTTTCCGCGTGCTTGGTGCCTTCATCTGCTCAATAGCTGTTGTCTTCCGCTGATCCACACTCAAGCCATTCTTTGATGTTGTATGGCCTAAAAACGCTACACTGTCCTTGCCAAAAGAGCACTTTCCCCGATGTGCGTAGAGCTTCTCTTGGCGCAGTACCTTAAACACTTCGCGCAGATGCCGAATGTGATCTGCGTTCGACTTGGAAAAGACGCAAATGTCGTCAAGGTATACAACCACGAAGTCAAATTTATCGAAGAGGACCCGCATAAGTCGGGACCAGACACCTGGCATTCCTGCCAAGCCCATAGGCGCAACACACCATTGGTATGTCTCCTTGTGAGTCCGAAAAGCCGTGTATTGACGACTGGGTTCGTTTACAAGCATCTGATGATATCCTTGAGCCAAGTCTATCACGGTGTAAACAGTACAGCCTGTCATTTGATCAAAAAGCTCCTCAATGAGAGGCAGAGGAATTTTGGAATCTTGGTCTGACTATTCACGTATCGATAATCGATAACCCAGCGAATAGGTTGCGAGCAATTTCCCGACCGAAGCCACTCACCCCGGGTGGGAGCTTGTCCAGTAACATGGTTCTTTTTTGGTATACCAAAGACGTTGGAAACCCACGGTGAGTTTGAGACTTCTACCCAGCCTTTCTTAAGGTTCTCTGTCACGAAGGACTCGAGCGCTTCTTGCTCCGTCTTGGACAGACGAAAGGGGGCTCGAGAGCTGGGAATGGCATCCGGTTTCATCTCAACTTCGAACTGCACAGCACGTTTCGGCGGGAGACCATCAGGAAGCGTTTCAGGAAAGACATTGCTATATTCCAAAATAAGATCATAAACCCAAACAGGGATGATATCGCTTGTGGGAACAGGAGATACCTTTACCATGTAAATCTCGGCGTATTCGTTCCGTCTCACATACAATTGTCGCGAAGGTCCACTTCGTACAGGGCTTAGATTATACTGATCTGGATGGGCCAACCCGTTCTCGTTCATACCATCTGAGTTAGCGTGAGCCTGTTGGTGTAGAATTTTACCGGAGATCCAGTCCACCTGCGGGGCGTACGTGCGAAACCACGGAAGCCCAAAAATGACGTCCTGATCAGCATCTAAGGAACTCTCCGTAAAAAATCATGTGGGCAAATTCTATGTCACTCATCCGAACAGTTGCTTCAACTGTCGATAACTCGGCTGGCGGGGTTAGAGAGCCATCAAACCTCTTCAGCTGGCCCCGATGTTTACTGATGACTCGTGACGCAAGGCCTGGACGAATCACGTTGGTCAAAGCTCCACAATCCAATAAGATTGTCACTTGCACACCATCAATTAAACCGCGTTTACGCAGCAAAGTAGGCTGTTGATCGGCCAAGTGTACTTCAACAGCGTTGATAGTGTATTGATCGAACACGATCCCACTTTCATCTTCTTCTTTTGTTTCTTGCACACTATCAATCATGCTGATTTTCACATTCGGTCGCGATGAGCTCTGTTTTCGTGGCCTCGTCGGACATTCTGCGAGTCGATGTCCTGGCTGTTTACAATAGAAGCACAATTTGCGCTGGAAGCATTCCTCCTTAGACACCACTTGCACATTATCAATTTCCATAGGCTCTGGCCGGGCATCTTCGAAGTGCGGACGCGGCCTTATTTCTTGTCTTCGAAACGGCTGCGCGCGTCTGGCGGTCCCGACGCCAAAATGCGATCGCTCGAAGTCATAAGCAACATTGATCGCTTGACTTAAAGATGAGCATCGTCTATACTCGACTTCGGCGCGAGTTTGGTTCTTTAATCCCTGAGTAAAATAGAAAATGGAGTCGACATCACTCATATTTCGGACCTGAATCATCAGCTGTCGGAAGCGATTAACAAACTCCCCAAGGTCCCGGCATTGACCCTGATCCAGGTTTCGAAGCTGGTCACGGAGACGTATCTGAAGGTCTGCTGGTACGAACTCTTGCTCCAGATGAAAAAAGAGTTCATCCACAGTCGTGATCCTACTTCTGGACCAAACAAACCATTCCGCTGCAGTGCCTACGAGCATGCTTCCAATGGTTGGAATGATTGTAGCTGCCATCGTCGCGCACTTCCAATTGACACGCCTCACCGTAAAGTACTGCTGTACTTGTTCTTTAAAAAGCGCAAACGATTCTTGTACTTGCCCTCCATACCGGGGAGCCTTCACTGCGTCCAAACGTAAGTCCTTAAGTGTTGTAGCTTCCGCAATCTTTCTCATCATTTCTTGTTGCTGCGACATCATCGCCAGCATGCTTTGCATGAGCTCAGCATTTGACGGCCCGCTCATGGCGTGCACAAAACTTGTCGCCCAGCTGTTTTGCAGTCAGATCGGGGTCGGGTCGGGTTCAGGGTTTGCGTGTGGGTCGGGTCTTCTGACCAACAAGTGCTCTAATGGCGCACATCATCCAAAAATCGAGTCTGATGGATCTGGTGGTCTATCTGCATAACGAGACAGCGGATGAGAGCCGGCGAATCATGTACGATCAGGAAAATATTGACAGCTGTATTTTAGGGCTCAAAAACTTGTGGACTTTAACAATCATGAGTATCAATGACACGACAGCACAAAGGCTACAAACTATGTCTGAGCCAAGGCATTGAGCGACGATGTACTTAAACCAGTAGACCACTACATCCCGTGTGGTGAACCACGTACATCCACCTAATCATTCGTAATAGCGGCATTGCTAACCCGTCTTGAAAAGGACGTACGTCTTACATCATGTACGCAAAAGTCTGTCCATTATTCTCTGCTTATCGAGTCGAGTCCTCAATGCTTGAGCGCTCGAACACTATCAAGGTTTTACGATGCGTCACCGCGGATACATAGGGCAAAGCGGTAGGTCGACCAATTTAGTATATTACTCGACAAGTGGTTTAACAAGTCAAGTAGTCGAGCATGTGTGGCCTGTGTCATTTCACATGTTCCTAGTTCCATAGGCCAGACAAGCACGACAAGCTGCGATCCATTCTTTACAGATACCTGATCATTGTAGGATGAGCAACGTACTACGTATTCGCGACACGACAGTGAGCGTTTATAATCAACGTCAAAGATAAACCCTCATTATCTTCTATTCCAAATCTTTTGTGACGTTTTTACAAACTGAAGTTGTATCGGAAATCCTTTCACCGTCGTGATTTTGGAGCGTTTTGACACACTACATGTGCATACACCATCAACTGCAAGCTGAAAATCGTGCCTTACCGCACGATGTCCCACGTATTGGCAAGCACGAAACCGTACAACGTACTTGCAGCCTTTTGCGATGGTTGACGTTTGTCGATGCATTTGAAACTGACACCACGGCGCTATGATAGAAGGAACGGTTGTACTGAGCTACAAGACACAATAAATCCATCTGCACAGCGTCATTAGTTCCACCTGTTTTCCTTGCTTGATTGTATACGACCAATGTTCTTCATAGTACGAGATAAGACAGGGACTGCATAGGGTGTTGGAGCCAAGCGTGTACGAATTCCTGTTCATCTATAGCGAAACAGATGCACGTCTAAACATATTTGTAGATTAAGGGGGAGCTGCTGTTGTAGCATAGACAGCCATGGCTAGAATTTGTAAACGACTGTAAACAGACATACTTTCCGCCTTACAAGGGCAGCGCCATATCGCCTTATTATCTGACAAAACGCGGACGATGGTCGGTTTCATTAAATTCGTTCATGACCGCTTTATTTTTTACAGTGTGCACGGTACAAGCACTTCGGAAGGTATCTGTAAACTCTACAGGTCGACATCAAGTTGACCGAAATGAACACTTTCTGGCTTATCCTCAGACTGAGTACAACTCTGACTGACAGGTTGTGCAGCCAAAACGCGCATGCAACAGGTCTGCATGGGTGCCTACACGACAATTGCGCAAACTTTGTTGCCTGGTATCCTGAACGTGCGTAGCCATGCATTCGCTTTACAATCGTCGCGTCATCTCCGATCGATGAAAAGATACTGCGGTGCTGCAACGGTAAAATCGTTGACGGTGTTATTGACGAGCGACCACAGCTTTCTCAATGGTCCAGGTAAACATGACTAAAACAAAAGCGTAGTAGTATTGATGTGTTGTCACGAAGCAATGCACATAGCACGCATTACGTTCATAGCCTCCTTCACCATCAGCAACATAGACTTTGCGATCGTTAAGGCTCTGACCTGGAGAAAACTTGTCAAAACCAAGGTGATGTCATCGAATGCGGTCGTATTCACCTCAAGTTAGGCAATGAAGCGCGATATTACAAATGCTAGTTGTGTCCGACGTAACGCATGTCCTGTCGATAATCAGCTTGGGATACCTGCATCAGTGCAAAGCACCTGGTTTATAACTCATTCCAATAGCACCGTCCTGACTTGTTCAAGCAGTCGACTTGCTTTCGACAACCAGCGAAAAACTGACGACGCCAGGCATCGTGTAGATATCAATAGCAGGTGCAGCACCGCCCACTGCAACGACGTCCGTAGCGTGGTTGACTGCACAAAAGTGGCTGGACAACACCGTCGATCTGGCAGCCGACAGCAGTTGCCCAGAGCTGCGATTCCACTTTTTCAGACTAGCATCATTCCCCACACTCAGCAGCTCCATGTGATGACAGACGACGTCATGCACATCGCACGTCGTTGCAGTGTAGTGGACGGGCACTCGAGAGGGCAAATGCCACATGCTTAAGAAGCCTCCAGTGTCTTGCGCTTTACGAGATCGACCACCGGTAGGACGTTTCGTACCCCCGCCACATGCGAGCCACGTTTCAGAATCATCGTGAGCAACAGCACCAATCCACAAAGACGGCAGCGGTGACGAGACCAGCGTCGATGACGGCGGGGCTTGTCGAGGACGCAGGAATTCGATGTTTCCAGCATGACGGACATCCCATATGCCAAGCGTGCCATCTTCAGAGCTCGTCACAAGCTCCTGAGATTGATCCAGATATCGCACAGCATGCAAATAATCCTTGTGACCTTCAAATAGCCGCGTGAACTGTTGCGCATCGATATCCCATTCGTGCGCCACACTATCTCCACCTGCCAAGAATAAATGTCCGGAACTCTTGCTCACCACTACATCATTGACCTCCATAGCTGGCAGCAAAGTCCCCCTGAACCCTAACGATTGCCGCTTCAAGTGACCAACATGCACCGCCGCTAAGTTCTTGGCAGTTGCGGGATCTTCCATAGCCAATAGAATATCTTTCCATCGCCACACCCGAAAGTCCTGGTCTCCTCCACTAGCAGCAGACCATTTTTCAATGTAATAATCAGCCCATCCATCCCACTAATCAACCAGCTAACTATCCAAACCTACCTGATCAATAATGGGGTTATTGCATCACCAGCAAAACAAAGGGAGTGAATCTGCGCCTGGTGAGCTTGGAACGATAGATTTGGTCCTGGTGAGGCGGTCGATCTGCCACAAAATACATAAAATTTTATCAGAATAAAATAAAATAAGATTACAATTATCATTGATCAGTACACGATATTTCGATTAAAATCGGATTTTATCATGTCCCAAACATACTCGCCACGCTTTACTTGATCCCAGTATTCAGCAGTCATGACGTGACTGAGGCTGTACACGTGGATCAACCCCGAGCTCGTTGCAGCCACTAGCACCGTTTCTTCGTTTGAAATATTCTCCGGCGTAAAGATTGCCTGGTACACAATTGTCTCATTCATGCGCATCTTCTGTAAAAGCTCAGAGCGATACGCGTCTTCATTGTAAGTCGCCGGGTCCATTATTGTTAGCAGATTATATCCTGTGATGTTGAAATTCAGCAATTATTGTATTGGTCTAAATTAAGGCAATCCGTTATCGCTGCACGACGTCGCGTGGGACGCGCGACACTTTCAGTTGTTATAATGTCACGCCTTATGACCAAAAAGAGGAATTAGGATCACGAGCAAAGAGCACTAGGCAGACACTTCGTTCTTGTGTATGTAAGCGAGGTAAGACAAGTTTGAGCTGTCGCAACTCGCAAATACTCCACCTAGCCACGCCTGAAGATGAATACACATGTGCATCCTTAAGAAAACAGTGGTTGAAATGCTCTTCGATCCCTTATTACCATGTTCATGGACCAAAAGGGAGTGCTGGATACCCGCAGATCGAAACAACGTCAAGTATCCAAGCATCACGAGGTAAGGCGTGTGATGTCCGACAAGCTGCGTAGCAAACTTCAATCTGCGCACATCAGAAGGTTTTTGAAAAACTGTGCGACTCCTGCTCATTGTGCGACAATCCTCTTCAACAACCCCATCACAAAGGACGAAGGTTGCTGAGAAGTAGCATCGAGCAGTGTTACTGCTGAACTCCGCTGAAGATTCAAGTCCGTGTACACTGAAAACGGTTTGGGGCCCAAGCAATACTCGTGTTTTTGTCACCTACAAGACACTGGGTATGCTACGCGACAATGGACAGCAAAGTACACCGTCGAGCCCATTCCTCCAGCATGTCTCGCTTCAATGTTCGACTATTTAGCCACACGATCGGCTTGTTGTCCAATCACGGTCCACCCAGCGTTTCCCCTCTATTATCATCCGTGTGCTCCACATCACCTCCACCACTGACTAGTTCCTTCAATCCGGCGGCGCTCGAGACCTCTACTTCTTCTTTTTCTGCTGCTGCTGCTGTAGCTGTGGCTTTTGCTTGTTGCCCTTGCCCTTGGCAGCACTCACACTCACGTCGCCACCTTCCGCCTTCAGCTGCTCTTTCCGAGCAATCTTGTCCTGCAGAGCCTTGGCGTCCGCCTCGCGCTTAGCCAAGGGGTTGCCCTGGCTCCCGCTCTGTGTGTGCTTCGCTTGACGCGCCTGAGCACGCTGTAGCCATCAACAAACAAGCGCAAAAACATCCAATAAATCGCACTTTACAGTGAGCATCAAGATAATATTGCAAGCTAGAATGCATTCCAATACACAGCCAAAAGAATCAACGGGTGGTGTCGTACTGCTCGGTCCGTGTCTCGCTGGTTGCCACGCGTCATTCGATGCAGCAAATAGAACTACTGTCTGAATTATAGTAGCGCGGTCTCCCAATAACCGGATGATCCCGACGCGTTCTAGTTACAGCAAGTAACCTAGCTCGAAGGCGCACACGACGGCGGTTCGATGCCTTCGGATTGGTCAAAAACGTTTACTATCGAGTCGGACACTGTCACCTGTCGATCCAAAGAATTATCCAGATAGCTAGCTAGCTAGAATCAGAGCTAAGCGTTACTTCACATCGATCGGAGACGAACATCCGCGAATCGAGCTCCCACCTCGTGTGTTTGTCAACAAAAACGAGACAGGAGAGAGAGAGCGAGCGAGCGAGCGAGAGACTCTGAACGCAATTATTGTCAGCAATACTAATCCAAATCGAGACCCAGTGGACACGTAACCATCCAGTCGAGTCATGCTCGCAGTCTCGACGCCCTCAATCCATCGCAATCGACGACAAGACCATCGAAGCGAGGCGAGAGCCGGTCAGCGATCCGCTTCCTGGACCCGTGGCACAGTAGAACCGGTTTTAAACCCGCTGGCAGTCACTCCTCGACACAAAGAGCACCACCACCACGTCGAGTCCGACGTGACGACTGACGACCGTTTGTCGCCGAAAGTCCCACGTAAAAAAAGAGCTCTTGGGCCATGGCCCGACGTCCTCGTGTTCCGATTGGTCACTTCTCGTACTTTAGGTGACGAATCAGAGAGTGACGACGTTTCGTGGGGTGAGCCCGAGCGCGACGAGGAACTGGAGAGTGACGAGGAAGAGGAAGACAGTGAGACGGAAGAAAAGTGGACGGACGGAGGCCTGGAAAGCGAACGAGAGGAAGATGAAGGGACGGAGGAGGATCGGAGGTGGTGGCAGTCGAAAGAGGACAAGCGGACGTGGGAGAAACGCTATTGGCAAGCGGATGCAGCTTTTCGAAGACGCTTTGGCTGTGCAATCGACACGCCACTGCACCCCGAGCTCCAAAGGAGGGAGCGACGAGAAGAGATGCGATGGAAGACGGTCAAGTTTGTGCTAGCGAGGGTGGTGCTTGTGCTCTTTTTTGTGCTAGTGGCACTCGTGGTCTCGGTTCCGTCGCGGACGATTTTGATGACGACGTGGCGAGATGGTGTGGCAGTCGGGAATGAGGTTGTGGAATGTGGAGGTGGAGGAGCTCTTGCTGGTGGGAAGAACGATGGACAACGGGATGCTAGCTTATGGCCTTCCGGTCGAGTTGTGGTTCCTGAGTACGTGCACACTGGCCTGCAGCTATGTGCAAAGCTCTCTCGACGTGTGGTCGAGTCGGAGCACGACACAGCAGCTGTTCAACACGCTTTGCGTGCTTGTGATATTGCTGCGAATTTTGCGCCAGAGAGTTCGCGCGAGTCTGTTGAAGCGCATGTACTTCGCGGCGACCTGCACAGCTTGTTACTGCGGTTCGACCGTGCTGATGAGGACTACAAAAGTGCAGCGACGGCAGTTCGAAACGACAAAAAGAGCAATGCAGACTTGTTGCGATTCTTGCAAGCCTTGGACGTCAAGATACTGGCCAATCGATGGACACAACTGTACGCGACAAAGAGGTATGACGAATTAAGACGTGAGGTCAAAGCTCGTGTGGCTTTGAACAATACTGCAGACGCAGAGGGCAGTTATGAGCGTGCGGTCAGCGAGCTGGCAGCAGATTGGCTTAGTGCGTTTCAACAGAAGAAGCCGATATTGAAAGTACTGACACTACAGCGGAGCTGGACGTTACGTCGTTTAAACTACGAAGCTGTAGACAGTGACAGGACAGGTGTAACTTACAGTGTCACTGTGTAAGATAGGAGGGTTGTTTCAGTTGTGTCATTATATTTCACAAACGTTTGATCCATACAACGTGTATGATTGTATCTCGGTCTTCCGTCGACCCTTGATAAAAACAATCGACTGGTTCTTGAAATCCTTACCGCTGCCGTCCTTGGGACCTTCAGGTGTCCTACATTTGTCCACCAGTCAAGTGGGTAGGTGAGCGCCTCGATTCTAGCTGCTCATCGATTTACTCCCCATCCTCGCTATCTTCTTCATCTTCGCTATTCTCGTCCCCTTCGCTCGAAGCAATCTCCTCATGATCCTCTCCATCTCTATCTCCATTATTTCCCACTGTTGCATCAGCAGATTCCAGTTCTTCAGCTTTCCGCTTCAGCTGACAAAGCCGATCCAGCTGCTGCTGATGCTGCTCCAAGTACGCGACGAGGTCGACAATAAAGTCGCGCGTTTTCGGATCAAGCTCAATCGCTCGCTCTAACATTCGCACCACTTCTGCATCAAAAGCATTGTCCTCAGTACTTTTGCTTCTCGCCATACGCATAGTGGCCAAGTTGTAGTGCACATTTGCAGAGTTTGGAAACCTATCGGCCGCGTCTTCAAACACCTTGACCGCTGCGTCCAAATCTCCGAGTTCACCATAAGCTTCAGCAAGTGCTGCAAGTGTAATGCCGTACGCTTTCTCAATCTGTTCACTACCTTCATCAGCGTTATTGGCAGCATCCAAAGCTCGGGCATTGATCCTCATCGACATTTGATAAGCTTCTGTCGCCTTTGGCAACTGTTTCAAAGCAGAATACGTTAAGCCAAGTCGAAACGAGATAGACGCATCCTCCTGTCCATCCGTTAGTTTGCTAGCCTTGGTATAGTATATTAGTGCTTTATCCAGGTCTCCAGCCAAATAATAATCATCTGCAAGGTGCGTGAGTGCCCCTAAATGATCCGGTTGACACTCAACTGCACGTTTGAAAGCTTCCACTGCTCCATCGTACGAACTGAGCTGCTCAAAGGCCAAACCAGCTGAGAAGGCATCGTCAAAGATTAACGTAGCCATTTCCACCTCGCACTCAGCATCTCCAGTCAAATTTGACGATTTTTGTCTCTTGTTGGTACAATGTGAATGCTTTGTATCAGTACTGGAAGAACCCACGGACGGGGATGTTGTAAACGCTCGACGCTTCAGTTGCTGCTTCCATTTGCTTTTTGCCATTTCTGTTGGTAGTAATGAGAGAGCAGGTGAGCGAGAGATGCGTACTTACCACCCATTAAGTGCGTAAGGCCCTGCTGAATCTGATTTTTGGATATCACATCGTCTTTTGGAATATATTCAACGACATCGAAACTTGAACGATCACTCTGTAGGTGGGAACACTTACAACGAAGAATGGCACACTCGTTCTTTTCTATAAGAGGCACATTTGTATCCAAGTTTTGTAGAGGTGATTTCCAGAGCTTGCTCCCTCATCTTATCACCTGCCACCTTTTGCTTTTACATACTAATTTACATGGGCACGTTACGAAAACTGTGAGTGTCTCTGGGATACAGCTGAAACATGAGATTGGATAGGAGGCTATGCCAAATTAAGGATCACAATACTTTTTAGGGAAACGTCATTCAGCCCTCACGCTCTTGTGAATCGGCCACCACCCACAAGCTAATTTATTAGTTATATTAATTTTGATAAATGCAGCATTTCACTTGATAAAAATCAGGCTAGGTGTTTTCAAGCTCTAATCTTTCTATTATCACACCGTGACCGCTTTTTGTACGCTGTCATCGAAAAATGATACCAGGTTTGTTTATTCGTTGCTGACGACAATGAGAAGTCTGGGGCCACCGCCCACATTGTTTGTTGGAGGAAGTAAAGGCGGCAATTGAAACCCATGCACAACAACAAAGCTATGCAATAGTAGCCAAACGGACAAAGAGGATAAGCACCACAAAATGATGCCGTAAAAATCGTTTACCCTGCTTCTAGTCAAATCCCTTGATTATATATAAATGACCTCACTGACGTGCTTCTGCCAGGCTTAGCGCTACGGGTCAGCTCCAGGCCAGGTAAAGTTCGGCAATTCCGTCTCGTTTCGCTTCAATTAAGACTCATAAGTTTGACAGATTAATCAACGACACTTCCTTTTTTCACTCTTTAGATTGTTATGCAGAGTCCTTGTCATGAACTAGCACACCCAGCACAATGACATTGATCTCATGTAAGGACCGCTTGTCCACATTCGTAGACAGCGTCCCATAATCAATTTGTTTAGCTTAATAAATTTGCTTTTTGTGCCCACGCGGAAGGAAAACCGAGATCATCACACTTTACTCGTCTAGAAGCACCTGGCCATATCTATCTTGCTCGTCTGTCAGCCACTGAATGAACTACATAAGTCTATAAACGTAGTGTGGCCACCCATGTTGATCAAATGCACGACGTCCATCGAGCTCATTAGCATTCAATTTTTTATTGCAAAATCTGTTTGATGGCTTTTACAACGTTGGATGTTTGCGTGACCGATTGAATGCTTTGTTTTTTAAATAGTTACAATTTATATTGATTATTCGAGGGTGGTGGCTAGTAAACGAGAGGGTCGTGGCTTAATTACGTTTCCTTAACTTTTATCACAAGCCCGAAGTGAAACGGAGTCACCACGACCTTTAAAGGGATATATTTAGTTTATGTAATATACAATCTGAAGTTTATACTTGATAATTGATGTGATTGATAACCTCAGTCACCTATTATTGATAGATTGGTATGCCATTCATCGATCTTTAAAAACACTAAAGATTACTATGCAAATTAGTTTAAGCTTAGTATTAGGTAGTTAAATAAAGTTTATGACAGATAAAAATGATGAACAAAAGTTCAGTTCTCCTTTTGATCTTAGACTGACACGTGTCTAGTCCAGACGTTAGTAGATCGTAAAAAGTTAACGCCAGGTTGTGGCGTATACTCTAGAGGACATTGTGCGCACGATTCTTGGAGTCTTTGTTAGTCCTTTGAACCAAGACTAGCAGCTCTGCGAGATTGTAGACTCTCTGAGGTTTTGTTGATTCGTTCTAGGAACTAGATACTTTAAAACTACTAAAAACTTAGTTTTGTAGAGCTGAGTGACTTCTAAAGTCGTAAATCTTTTTCTAAATAAGAGCTGTGTAGCTCCTCTACTTGGAGGGTAAAGATATTAGTGAGTGTGCACGAGATTAAATGCCGAAATTTTTAATCCTAGTTCTAATGTGTGTGTCTGCATGCATGTCTGTCTGTAAATTAAGCGGTTAGGTGTACCTTACCCGTACCAAGTACGATCTAGTCGGTCCCCCCATAGGTATAGGCACATCCGAAGTCACTCTTTGGCTTAAGTACTAAGGTGGTGCACGCTTGTGGTTGGCTAAAAATTAATCAACAGAAAATATGATCACATAAGAAAATCCAGACGCTCATGAGCAAAGGCTGGTCACGTTGCTCGAGTACACTGTATTGAATTCGTACAGACATTATCAGCATCATGCTCATTCTTCAGTGACTCCTGTTGTATAGTGTTTTGCAACTTGATCACGTGCTATAATGATGAGAGGTGATGTACATTCAGGTATGCGAACGACCCGCTATATCCTGTCTACAGGCAACAATAGTACCGTGTAGACATCAACTTTTATATTCTAGGGTGTAACTAGTCTTCGGATGGCCGAGCGGCGCTGCGCAAGGTGTTGTATCGAGATCATGAGATCCTTTGCATGTGTTGCGTGGCTCTGTAGTTCGGTAGGATCGGCTTGGGAAACCTCCAGCCAGTTATTAGTATCATTTTCGAGGAAGGCCGCAGCCTCTGAGACTACACGGTGCCCCGAGGTAGCGTGTACTTGAATGGAGGCACACGATTCCATACCGAGATTGACCAGTAGATTCGAAATGTTATTGCAGTCGCGGTAGTGATGGTCTCAGCTGACGACGAGAATATCGTCTGCTAAAGCCCGTGCTTCCCGAAAAGGCAATTTTTAGGTGTGGCTTGTGAGGGGGTGATGGGTATAGCTTATTATTTATTTTGATTTTTGAAATAATAATTTATTTTTTAATATATTTTAATAAATATAAATTAAAATATTTTTTTAATAAAATTTAATTTATTTTTATTTTTTGGATCGTTATTTGAAAAAAAAAATTTTTTGTAAAATTTTTAAAATTTAATTGATAATTTTTTATATATTTACTTGAAGTAATTTGTAAAGAAGATTTATTTTAATTGCACGTTGTTCACCTATATTTAAATATTCTATATTTTCTTTAAAAGTTATTACAATAATTGGAGCATCAACTGCTTTTTTTGCTAGTACCGTAGGTTTAGTACAAAATGATTTTAAAAAAATAATAGCTTATTCAACTTGTAGTCAATTAGGTTATATGTTTTTTGCTTGGACAGCACGAGCGCACTGTACCCAGCGACATGCAAAGGTGAGTGTCTGCTATCTTTTGCTTGGCGTAGACCTGTGACTAGCCTCCAATATTCTGCGACATTGTTGGTAGCATGAGTAGAGCTGCAGGGCATGCCCACCACCCACATGATGCAAGCGGCGTGCGTCGTAATGTGCCACTTAACGATTACGAATCCAGCCCCACCCGGACCGGGACTCCCACGCGATCTAGCTTCGAAGAACAAAGGTAAAGAACGCTTCATTCGCTGCTGCTTAGAAATGCTTGCAACGAGGGGGTCATCGAAACAAAGGAGATAGTAAACAAGTGCATACTGCATCCGTGCATGGAGTTGGCCATCCGCTCCCACATCTGGCTGGAACATGGACCCGCGAAAATAAGTGACCGATCGGCGGAATTGGGTTTGAGCCCTGGAGGCGTGTACCTTCTGTGGCAGAGTTAAGTCATCCATGCAGCGGAGGCTGCCGACCCAGATGGCATGTAGCGTCGTAAAAACGACAAAACGAAATAACGCCAAAGCTCACGAGCTGCTGTAAATACCGCATCCTTCGCACCCGACGTATCTTTGTCCGGGTGAATAACATCCTTACTAGCGTTCCATGCCGCGCTTGATATGCACGGCAAGTCCATTCCAAATACCATACTTGAAGACTATTTCTCTTTAATGTGGCCGAGACTTCGCCACTGAGATTGTAGATGATGTCAATGTCGTTGGACACTAGGGTAGTTCCAGAAGACATGACTTCCCGATTGCAGGAAGTGTGGGTATACACTCAGGTACGGGCACGACAGGTCTTAAGCCTCCCAATTCCAGATTAAAAACTGTTGCCTTTTAGTCTCTACAGTGTCTGTGCGCCGGCTGGAAAGCTCGCCCTTATCCGTCGGAGGTCTCTCCACTCGATCAGATATGTACCTGTTAAAATCACTCGATAGTTTGTCTTAGCGACTCGCTCGTCGCAAAGTTGGTTCCATTCCTGACGCAGCATCCGAGAAAGGATATGCTTGAGCTGTTTCGTTGCGGGAGCCATCTTCGTGAGCCAGCTTATAGCTTCACGACCAGCGTAAGCACGGGATGTGTGCCAAAGTGGACAATATATCCACTTTTGAGAAAAAAGAGCTATTGCACGCCAACATCGATGAATCAGGAGTCGCCCCGCTATACGTGCCCGTGTAAAAGTTGGATAGCGATCTACCATCGCAATTGAATAGTCAGTCATGGTGACGATGGATCTTTGATGAGAGCGCCATTTTAGGCCACTGTCTCAATTTCCCGATACACGAGAAAGGGGAAGTTGTAGAGGAGGCTAGACTGAAAGATCCAAAGTGTCTTCGTACCGTCATTGATCGGGTATCTGAATCTTGCGTGGGTGAGAATTGTACAACTATCCGTAACACCGTGCTCCAAGACATTGTGTCGCCCATGTACGTCTGCTCTGTCGCAATTGCAGCACCTTTCAACTCGTAGGGCTTGTTCCAATGATCTTGCAGCCACGATATACCTTTCATCGAAGCGTGGAAAATCCATCTGGTGTCAAACCGAATCTAAGATGTAAATTAGGCCTTCATTCCTGCTAGCATCGTGTTATTAAGCGCCCGTCGGACACCAATCGAGACGCTGCCGTCGTCATTACAGTCGACCCCGGCTTCCGACCTAAATTTTACGGCCCGACGGCAAAATTCCTTGACTTTGCCCTAAAAGCCATGTAGAGCAGCGTAGGGACCAGCAATTTCATAGTAGTCAACCAGAGGGACGACCTGTATTTGGGTACGTGTTTTCTGTCCAATACGGCGTGATGTAAGCCGATCCTGACCATAGAGAACCCTACAGGACATTCCAACCGAAACCGTAGCTGCCCACTGCTAATTGCTGTCGCCGCCGTTGTCAGCAGTTCCGTTGAAATACACGACACCTCGAGGCCGCCTTGCTGTATTCGGTATTGCAGCCATATCGGCGGGCACCCAAGGTCAGGATCGTTTGTCATCTTGAATATTCCATACAAAGTCCCTGACAAATCCATGCAATCGGGTGACAAGGAAGGAGAAGGCCAACGATGACGTGCTAGATAGGTAATTTTAGGCACCGCCGCGGCACTGACAAGACGGGTCCGCTGCTCAATTGTTTGAGTCTTCTCTCGAGATAGAACGAGTCGACACCATACAGATCTTGTAAAATTTATCCGATTCTCGTCCACTGCGTCTTGTTGCCCTACCAGAACATCGAGGTATCGGCACGACTCGCTGGAGGCTAAAAGAGTGAGGCCGTGGATGTCGAGAGGTAAGGCCTATCCGCGAGGGTCGAGCTCGATAACCATAGACTTCGCTTGATTTGTCTCAATACCCAAGACCCTTGCAAATTCTTCCAGAATGGAAACAACAAGCTTCAATGCCGTCCGATTTTGCAGGCATACTGCTGTTTCGTCGGCATATCCCCCAACCTTGATCTCAGTCGTCCGGCCGCCTGAGGTGAGAGGTACGCCTCGAAATTTTACCCCTTTTAGATCACCCGATAGACACTATCGAGAGCCAGTATGAAGAGTAGTGGTGCGAGTGGGCATCCTTGTCGAATTCCACATCGAACCTTCCGGCTGCTGGAGCGGTAGCCGTTTACTATAAATCGGCAAGTCGTGCCTTATTGTAACGCAGCCACGACCTATGTGAACCGAGAGGAGAGGCCCAGCCATGCAATCACTGAGATCAAAAATGGACGTTGTGGCGTGTCCTCGGCCTTAGCGAAATCTAGAAGCAGTACGATGGAACCATGCAGATTGGGGTCACCATCCGAGGTTTTTCGGACTGCAACAAATATAGTAAGCGCCGTTTGAATGGGACGTCTCGAAAAAACAACTTGGGCCGGTAGAACTGTCTGTGATAGCGAAGACAGATTCGAAACGAACAAATCCTGATAAATAACTTGTAGTCGCTGTTATGAAGCGCGATCGGACGATGGTCCAGCGGCAAGGCGGAAGCCGCAGTTTTCTTCAAGCACTAAATTTTTGCCTTTTCAAACGACGCTTGGAACACGCTGAAATCAGACTATTTGGTGTACATCGCTGCGAGAATAGGCATGATCGTATCGGAGTGATCGCGGTCAAAGTTATTGCGGATTTTTTCAGGGCACTGCTGCCTTTCCACGTTTATATCTTTTCAGAGCCGCACCCACGTCATCCGGGGAGATTGCCGCCGTGACAGATGAATCATCAATTCGATGTGGCCGAGCGGCCTGACCAAGAAATTAGGCGGCAGCATTGGGGCACTCGAAAGAACGAGTCATGATAGACTCCCACCCGTCTGTCATCTCTTCAGTTAGTTCCTGATGCCGATTCGATCCGGAGGATGCTTTTCAACACCCAGGGACACAATCGTGTGGTCCTGAAATTTTGCCGCCACTTGAGCGTAATATCTGCGGGAAGTCTCTTCCGGACAGTACGTCCGCTGGGTAAGAAGACACTCTTTCTTGGTTCTTTGCCATAACCGGCGACACTCTACCACATTTCGACGAAGGTACTCCGGGGTATCGCCAGAAACAGACTACTCGCTGCTCCCGTGAACGCCCCCCGGAGCGACATCCGAAGAGGGCGCCACAAGGAGTGCCGCAACGAGCCGGACGTATAAGCGACGCAGTCACTGCTAATAACTTCACGTCAAACCTTGATGGTCCTTCTTGATGAAAACCAACACGGCTTGACGTAAACGTATCTTCCAATCGCCCCACCGATCCGCAAGTCCGCGGGCCGTGTAATGGCTCGCTGTCGGATTCGAATTTGCGTCCTCGACTACACTCACTGCTGTCTCTAGCGCAGCAATAATTACGCGGTTTGCGGCATCTCTCGCGCATTCCTGGACAGGATGCACTCGCCGTGGCTTACGCACGCGCACAATACGACGTGGCGACCCGATCCAAACATCTATTCATTGTAGTCCGTATCTGGCCCTAAAACTGAGAGGACAATGTCGCAAATCTATTTAGCATGTAAAGCGCATACATACCACCGATCAAGCCGAGATCTGGCGGAGCCACCCCCTGGCAGACTGAAGAATTAGGTGTGCGCCGCAGCATGGAAGGCTAAAAGGTCACGTTCTTCCTCTTCTCACCTGAGCGAGAAGCCGACACAGCACCACTGAATCCTGTCTGCCACCAGGGGTAATTAAGGAACGATCCAGATGTGGGACTAAGGTATAGGCAAAGTCCCCTCCCATCAGCATCGGACAACTATGCCACCCTAGGGGTTAGAGAAGCATTCCTATCAAGGCATCTCGTTCACTACAATCGTTTGGAGCACATACATTGAATACGAGGACCGCTTTTCACATTTGCGTAATTCTAGAGTCCATATAATGTGGTGTCCAGTGCTCCTCGTGCCAAGGCTCCATCTCAGTAACCGACTAATATGGACTGAGAAGGATAGCTACCCCTTCACGTGCCGCGTCTGACTCATTCCACATAGTGTGCCCTAGTTTAGCAATGAAGCCCACGTGGTGTTGTAAAGTCTGTCCATAGTGGCCGCTTCACCATGAGCGACCTACGTTCACTAAAGAAGGACCAAATAATCGCCTCTCGCTCTTCGCGTTGACGAAAATGACCGAACCATTCTGCACATCGCTCATGTTGCTAAAGTGGTCCGGCTTCATTCTGCGAATGTAAGCCGATGATATTTTCGCGTGGCTGCCGGGCATCCCTCGGCATCTGACGCCTTCGGCGACGGAGTGGTTGGGGCGAATGATCACATACCGTCGTTAAAATGAGTTCAATTGACAGAAAAGGAAGGAGATCAAGGCTGAGCCACCCGATCTGACGAGTCCGCCGCTGGAGCAACCGTGGTGCCCTGAGTATTGAGAGGCCATCATCTGACCGTCGCAGGTGATAAGATCAAAGACCGGCTGTCATTTGTCAGGTTTGGATACGACTCCAAGGATTTTCGCAAGCAATTCTTTGGATTGGTGACAGAGCATCGATTTAGTCTGTGGCATCACAGCCTTGGTCTCGTCTTTCACAGGCGCAAGCGCTGGTAATAATTAACACAGGACGTCCAGAACGCTCCAGCGATCCAAGTCGGGAACAGGGTCAACGACAGTTGCATATAACAACTCCGGCTGTAGTGTGCTACAATGTCGCCAGCGCAAGATAAAGTCAGTTGTTTTCCAGCGAGTTTTACCCGTCTATCCATTTGCTACAGCGGAATAACCCGTACGTAGCTCTCGGAGCTCCCATCTACGTGGTTAGCGTTTTGTCGGATAACAGCAAGCTAAGACTCGCTATAAATGGAATTGCCAAGTGCACGGAGTGTCTCAACGGTCATGGAGGCGATATATGGAATCAGCGAAGGCAGACCACAAACGAGCGCTGCCAGTTACAGCGCGCAGGAAATAATCCGTGATGCTTGGTCTTTTGGACTAATAGGCAGTGTGGCGGGAATGGCAGCCACCGCTTTGCGCTGGCTCACCCACTGTCAAATTCCGGCTATATTTGCAGATCTTTGTTTTGTGCTCTCCAGCACCGCTGCAGCTGATACCGCCGCTAAAACGGTATCTGGAAGTTTGCGGACTCGGGTGGCGCGTAAGGTCTGGGCACGTGAGTCGTGAGCGCGCAAGTGGTCCAGAGAACTCCGGACCGCCACAGGTATCAGAGTTTACTCATGACCAGCCTGTGTTAAAAGCCTCCGTGGCACGGTTGCTTAGGCCTTGGATACTGCACCTCTACCAAGATCATTAAAACGAATGGTGTGGCCGAGAGTTGCCGCCATAGTCACGTCGAGATGCTGCGGATTCATTTCGTCAGAATCAAGAGGACACGTCAGAGGCATGGCCGTTGATTTACAGCACGTGTGGTACGGCCATAGAAGGCAGCGCTTCAGAAGTTGGCTTGCTTTTAACGCTAGCATGGCCTCTGCTGCGAAGGACAAAAGACAGCAAGAGGCGGCAAATTGTTAAACGGCTGCGCTCCCTAATTTTTCGGCTGATTTAGCCGGCCGCTCGAGTGGTGGTAAATATGGTCGGAGGACGTCCGCCTCGATTGTGGTCTGCTCCTTCGGTGTCATATTCCCCGAGCGTTGTTTCAATGTCTTCAACGTAATCGTGGCTTTCGTAACTTCATCAGTTGTTAGGGTGGCTGCCGCTCGGGCCGCGCAATATTCTTATTCCAAAGTAGGCAAAGAATCATTTTCGTAATCGAATGCAGGCGTCTCATCTACCGTAGAACCTTCTAGGGCACTAGCATTTCCGGCGCATGAGCATGAGCCGCAAAGTAGCAAATTGTTTTTTCGAGTCGGCAATGCGTTGCTTTTCGGCTGCCTTGGTGGACAGCATAACAACCTTCCTTTGTGCTTCATCCACCTGCACTCGAGCAAGTGCCATCTCCGTAGCGGCCAAGGAGACGATGGGTTCAGAGTCCACACCACCTGTATTTGTGGTCGCTTCCGCCACTGCAACCTTGTTGTCACCTCCGAGAAGTTTGTCAAGTTCGTGAACCGCCTTGGCGCAACACTGAGCCGTCTGTGATGAGTGAGTAGGCGTCTTTGCTTTTACAGGCATTGGCAACCTTCCTGTTGTATACCCCGTCACCGTTTTCGGTACATTTAAGTTCTGCTCGCCCTGAACTGATTTCTTTGAGTTATTTCCGGAGAGGAAGTCGCCACTTGAGAGGTAGGGTGTCCGGACTCTTGGGCTGACTGCGCCTTCGCGGGCGTCGAGACGGTCGGGATGGAGGGGTAGACGGTTGACTGGTGGATGCTGAATTGGATTCGAGCTTTGCTTTTTTTATTTGGTGCTAATGTTAAACCATCCATCGGTCGAAAGAACGGCGGGACGTGATCTACTGCCGCTCGCTGCTTGCTGATCACTGGGTAAAGAGTAGAGGTGGTCTCCGTATGGCTGGCACGCAAGGTTTTCTAAGAAACCTTGGCAAAAAGCGGGAACTTGCGCGCGCATACCCTCGTCTTGGTCGTTGTTGCAGTTAGTGTCGCTGCCACGCCAATGACATGTTGTAAGCGTCCGTTCACATGGAGGTGCTGAAAGCTCAACCCGCTGAATTGGTCGGATGCACGGTGCAAACCAGTGAACTCGCGTTGATGTTCGCAGAATAAAGTTCCTGGGCGGGCCACTCATTTGCACTGGAATGGTAAGGTGATTCACATGAGGAGCATGGAATCCGTTGAAAATGCCGGCGATGGAAGAGGAATATTGAAGTATCGGTGATATCAATTTGTGTCACCAGTTTAAGCTGCTAGGGACATGTAACTGTGTCGAAATCTGCCACAAAGAAATTAAAGTCGTACGCCTCCGATTCGTTCGGGCCCGCGCGATTCACAGATATCACTGCATAGGACACAATCGTCAGTAAAAGGTCCTGAACACTGCAAACCGCTACTCCATTGACAAATACACGTACTTGGTAATTTTAAAAGAGTGCGTCCGAGTGGCGCAGCTGGGGCCGACGCAGCAGAAATGTCTTCCCGCTCCAAAGTAGCGGGACACAATAGTTGAAGACGGGCACCCCGAAACAAGTTGAAATGGTATGCCAACTCGCTGCTGCCGCATGATTCGGCAGAGCGAAGGTGGGGCGTCGAGTTTCGGCTTCATAGCATGTACGCTTAGCTCCAATGACCAGTTCGCGACTCATGGGGTCTGGTGCCGGTTCCCCCTCGCGGAGCTTAAGGATTTGTAAAAGCAGCGTCTTCTCAGCAATATGTTGGGGCATGCGCACGAACGGCACCAAAACCTCAATGAATGTTACTTTTAAGTAGGCCTAAAAAAAATCCGATTATCGTAACCCGCGCCGCCCGAGGGTGTGTACACACCAGGAAACCAGGTGGTGACTGTAGAATAATACCACCCATCATTCAGGCCGGCAACGCTTTTTTTAAGTGGTATCATCGCGTGCAAATCACCGTCCGCTATTCGATACACGACCTCTTCGCTGTGCGAACCAGCAGTTCACTGTGATCGGGGGAAGGGTCCGTTCGTAACGCCGGATGCGTCGCTTACCTTATTATGTGCGTCTCTACTCAGCGAAGGGCCGACAGCCCCTGCAGGTTAACTCGGCGAGATTGCGCCAGCACCGTGAAGAGAGCCGTTTAGTGTGACCGGACTCGACGAGACGGCGCAATTACCGTTCAGTGATCCGAGACTCGGCGAGGTGGCGCAATCACCGTTAAGTGCGCCGGGAATCAGCGATTCATCGACGGCACTGTTAGGTGCGCCTCTACTCGGCGAGCAGAAGACGTCACCGCTTGCTCCGCAAGGTGATGGGTAATACACACCAGCGTCATTGTTGCAATGCTCTAAGTTATGCTCGGGAGTTCCACCGACGGTGCACTTCTGACGCTTATGAAAGTGCGAGCGCCGAGGCCGGTCACTGCCGCTGCATACGAACCCCGACCATCCGCCGCCTTAAGTACGGGGTCCGGCACGCCTGCTGTCTCGGGTCGCAGTAATGCACCCGCTTCTCCACCGGCGACCGTCCCCGGCTCTCCAGGACGATCCGGCTCGTGAGCCCAGTGCACACGCGCATCGGACGTACTATCCGGTATGCGACCCGACATGCATCTCTCCGCCGGTCGCAGAGTTCATGGGGGTTTGGCACCCTTCTCCGTGCCACGTTGTTTGTTTGCGTACTTCAGCGCAAATCTAGAAGTGATTTAGTTTTATGAACTGTATTACTAATGTCAAAGAGCGAGCTCTAGAGCTTGCTTCTATATCCATCCTTTATTCTTAGGGTGTTCGCGTTGTAAGTAAGTGCACACGCACTGTAAGATGAGTTTTATTTATTTATCTGGGGGTTTTCCGTGCAGTATGTAAATCTAGTTAGTCTCTCATTTTTTCTTATTATATGAAACATGCATTTCATTTTTCAATTGTTTGAGTCGTTTTCATGGATGCCGTTATACGTACCACACCTTTCTGTCATATGTACCACAGCCCATATTACGTAAGAAATTGGACCTAGAATTGTTGCGTACAGAGAGAGGCGATAATTGTCTTTCCAAATATAAAAGTTAAGATTTCTCAATTTTGACTATAGCCTTATCAGCGATTTGTCTTTAGCATCACGATGGGGGAAGATGTATGAGAGATGGATAAGACGACGTCAAACGGGTCATGTGGGCTGTATTTTACAAACTATATACTTAGTCTTCAAAATACAATCCGATTTAGGAAACTTAAAGGTACACGCCACCCTTCGATACGCATCCAGTCAATCTGTATGAAAAAATCACTTGGCACCAATTGTAACGTGAATGCATAATATCTGAATCACAACACTCTGAATTTGACAGCACTGCGACATTTGATCAGAAGGAGAGTGTGACCAGAATAATTTCAAATGTGCTACTGACTCCAGCGCACCTTCTGTCGCGTAGATCCCACGTCATGCAACGCAAAGAGAGCCCTTATATTGCCAAACAAGTATTTTCTCCGGATCGTGCGAACTTACACGAGCTTATCCTTAGACAGACCCGTTGTGCCCAAAAGCAACGCAAAATGACCAATTAACTCGGGCATCAGTCCATACGAAACTGGATCCTCGGGCTCGGCGTGAGATACTGACTCGCCAATCTAGTTGATATCGTTCGGCCGCATGTTGGGCATCGGAAAAATGAAGCCAGTCGATGACTGCGCTGTTCACTGGTTACCTGTTTTTCTGGAACGTCAAATGCACCACCACATGTAAAAATAACGTCGGTCGTGTCAATAGTAATGCATTCGCCGTGCGGGTTCTTGTGACCTCCCTTTTCCAGTACATTTACCATAATTTCTTCCAAAAGCTTCAGTAGCGTTTGTTGCACACCTTCAGCCGACACTTCGCGTCTGATACTCTCATATTCCCTCTTTCGTGTAATTTGTCAAATTCGTCAGTGTACACGATACCAAGCTGCCACCTCTATTGTTGTACTTGGCAGCTTTGTAAAGTTTGAACAAGACCGACTAAACATCCTCGTCCACGCACCCAGGTTGAGTCAAATACTTTGCATCGGCAATTACGACCGACATTTGATCCATTCAGGTTAATGTCTTGGCCAACAGCATCTTCCCCGAGCATGTGGGGCCTACAAGCATGATATGTGTCTAGTCTAGACTGATACCTTCCAGTATTTGCAAATTGTCCTGGACTGCAGCGTCACGAGAGTGCGAAGTCGCTGGATTGAACACAGACAATCATAGCAGCGTCTGATGGATTGTTCCTTCAAACTCTGCTGGGGTAGGATAAATCGTCTTCAGGAGCAATTTTCGACGGAGAATCGACCGCCGTGCGTCGTCTGCATCACCTTGTCGACCCGTTTCGCCTTTATTTTATTAATGCTGCTCTTGGGCTTGACAGACGATGCTTTTCCTTCTCTTCTTGCTTGCAGCAGATTTAAATTAATCTGAGCCCTTGGAAACAAGTCATCGCACATTGCAGGTCTGCATGTGTAAGCGTTCCACCAGCAGCAACATTGGTACTGCAGTAAGGTTAAGCATTAATGTTGCATGTGCAAATAGTTGAACGACCTACAACGGTCTCAAGATCGATATCTGAACAAGTTACGGTTGTTTTAGTTTGGTTTGACGTCAGCTTTGAAGCATTCAAGAAAAGACTTGTTCATGTTCGAGATCGCCGTGTTGTTTAGTTTAGTAGCTTATATTCTGATGCATTTAGGTCATAATTTGTGGCAACTGATTTAGTGGTACAGTGAAACTGGATGTGTACGTATCAAAGGGCGAATGCACTCCTAAGAGCGCGTTTCTGACGTTAATTGTAGCATTTGTTAAACCTCTGATTGCACCTCTGATGGTACCTCTGATTGAACGTCTAGTTAAGCCAAAGTACCTCCTCTAGGTACTTTGAAATTTAATCTAATAGTCAAGCGATAAAAACCAGGCAATGTTCGCACACTAGGTTAATGCAACCATAATGAGCGGCAGTGTACCCTTTTTGCTACTATACTAGCTCTTGCCCATAGCCACGCGTAGCACGCACTCTCATCACATTTTTTAGGAGAAGACGTCCCAATTTACACGGAAAATACAATTTGTCGAGGACTTTTTGCGTCAGTCGTAGCCTTTATTCCTGGCTTTGTCGAGAACTTAGATCTGATCTGGAGCATAGCCCAAAAGGTAAGATCAGTGCGGGTTGTTACAAACTGATACGGTGTATTAATCTAAATTACGCTTGACTGCATAGGTTTTGGCAATCTCTGTCTTTTTACACACATCGCAATTGCATTGAATAGATGGGTGTGCGGATGCAGTCAACGATTCAGCTGCATGTTTATTTGGAGTGCGGAGAGCAATAGCACACTTTGTAACGAGTTTACAAATGTTATGATTAAAATATTGTACATAAAGCTGTACACTTTACCAGCGATCATGACACAACTTGCCGGGTCAAATTTGCTGATGGTTTTCGGGAGCGCCGACGAATTGGACCTGTGGTAGATGCAGTAGATGGCACTCACTTCGCCATACACAACGAGTCTGTAGACGCACTTCACAATGCGTACAATAAGCGCAAAGTTTTCGCCTCAATCGCATGTCAAGCGGTCGTAGATGCGAATGGACTTTTTAGAGCGTGAGTGAATAGTTAGCCTCAAACAATGTGTTACTAATTTTACTATTCCCTAACCGTCTCTTCTAGATTGCGTCGTCCTTCGCGGTAGGTGGCAAGCATGTAATTGTCCGTGGCTTGTTTCAAGTCTACTGATCCAAGCGACGAAGCCCCATTTTGCGTTACAATACGTTTACGTTTTTGCTAACAGCAAGAAATGATAGGCCAATATACATTCAAAATCTATATAAGCAAGTGGCAATATCCGCAATATTCCACAACTAAAATAAAACATACTGCTTGACGCTTGCTCTGCTTCGATTTCCAAACGAGCTGTATGGTAGCTTCCGAGAAGTGCTGCAACATTAGTTTCCTTCCTGTAACTTATTTTCATGCATTAAACAAGGACGACACACATCGAGTCACGCAGGCCGAGACAAAAAATGACACCCACTAAGTACCACAGGCAAGTACTTACCAAAGCTGTCGGGTCTTCTATTAGGCAAGGCACTTTTCCTTTCTTTTACCCTCACACGCGCGTAGCCTGCGTTATTGTCCGTCGTAGGAGCATCCATGATGCCCGGGCTCGGCAAAAGGGAAAGATCTGGTGGCGGCGTCGCTGACGACGAGCTAGAGCACAAATTGGTGCTGGTGACCGCCATCGTCCTGAGCTGGATTCTTCGTGTTGTTTTTGGGGGTGGAAATCCGGATCCTATAGAATAAATGGAGGCTACATGTGTAATCGATAAGTTTTTATTGTGTTTTGTAAACAGCACCTCTAGTTGAACCTCCCGGTCAACCTCTCGTTTAAACAGTAATCCAAATAGTAGTGGAAATGTCGCTCAATTAGCTTAATAACGCGCTCTAAATCTGCTTGATTTAAATAGGGTGGTGGTACTAGAATAGAAAGGTAGACCCTTATAAATCTTATTTGGTTTTAAATGGGCCGTGGTATATTAAACAGAAGTAAGTCTCAAGGAATATTATTGACCTAAATTTGGCTGTGGTACGTAAAAGGACTCCAGTTTTTATTTTCTAATTATCTGGTGGATTATTTTATTTTATCCTAAGCCTTACTCTTCATCCTATCGTTCCCGCGGGTACTGTACAAATATGAGTCAAATGAGGTTCAATTTTATTATTCTGCCGCCAGCATGGGTCGAACATATTTTGTATGCGCTGAGTATTGCGTGTGACACAGCAGTGCTTGCTAAAGATTCTGCAATGTTGTGATATGATAGTTTGAGGATATTTCTAGCGAAACGACGACTAAAGCTTACGAAACAAGGCTCAGGATTGTGATAAATCAGGATCGAAAAGTTGGTGGTCTGCACAGGCAATTATAGGGCAACAGTCGGAAGCGCTGGCAATGAATGATAGACAACTGAAGCGGGTCTCAGTATGAACATACCACGGAAACATATGCGCAACATGTCGTTACGCCACGATTGTGGCGATCTACACGTAGTGAACTGTAGACTTTTACTGTAAAACGTTGTCCTTTTTATTATGCTCCGAAGTTCGGCAAGGCTCACAGCCAACAACCAAAAAGCTCAATTACAAATTTTATGCCAAATTGGCAACGAAACTTCGAAAAGGTGACATCAAGGGACGTTCGTTGGCTAGTGTCGTAGAATAGATCATTGAATGTCTGCTGGTCCATTGTCATAGTTGTCAATGCTGAACGGTATCAGTGGTAATGCAAGCCCGGGTCGACATTTCGAAAGCTGGGAAGAGCATCAACCGTTACATGTACACCAACGGTCGAGCACCTGCCTGCAGCCCCCTCGTTTTTTATGACGTAGCGTCTTTAGCATCGTGATCCGATTCTAAGTGCATGTGAGTTGTTGGTACCGGACGAGTTTTTGTTGCCTGATGCAATCTCCGCTGAACCGCAGGTGATAAACAGAGGGAGGGATCTTGAAGAATTGCGGGCACGATCACTTTGCAATCTCGTGTCCAGCTGCAGTTCTCGCAATTGTTCTGTGTGCGGTCACCTCCCCACCGTCAGCTTCCCGGCCGAACGCCCACAAAGCGACCGAACCGAAACTGCTCAGTCTCTTTTCAGTGGCACGCGACTCAATACAACCGCTGCGTGTAGCGTCGTGCCCGATCACATGTTCTCAACCTTTTTTATGGACAAGTGTTGCTACGAGTGCTATTACCGCTCATACGGCGATGCAATGACGATTCGATAGGACTTGTGGCACGTATTACTTGCTTATTTATCACCTCAAGGTGACCTGCTACTGAATAACCACAGCGTTACTGACAGAGAAAAAGCAAACTTGCTTGGAAATAGTACGCCTTTCAATTGCTTGGTGTCAATATGTTTGCTTCAGCGACTCTGCTCGGTTTGTCCAGTATATAGCTGCTCCGTCTTTCGTTTACATCAACCAGAAAGCTTGTCTGCAAGCGCTTGTGCAGTTTCTGCTTGAGCCCGTGACCAGTCGGCGAGGGTCTGCGCTGCTTCCGCTCGAGCTTGCGCGCTCTCGGCTTGCGCTCGCGCAGCTTCCACCAATGCCTGAGCAGCTTCGGCTTGTGCTTGAACGACAAGAGCTTCAGCTTGAGCTGCTTCGGCTTGTGCCTTGGCCGTTTTTGCCATATTTTGAGCTGCTTCGGCCGCGGTTGTAGCGCCCAATGGAGTTGCAGCCTGCGGCTTCGCTACGTTGTGTACCATCATCACTGCTGTCGAAAAAACAAATCACGATAGCTGCGCACTGCCCACTGACGACTTTTCCTTTAGCTGTCGAATGCAGAACTGCGTTCTCCAGCACTTCGCTTGTTGTTCAACACCTCGTCCCTTGCGGCGTTTTGTGGCTGCTGCTTTGAAACGATGGGACGTGTACAAATCTCACCATTGAACGCGATGTGGTACTTTTCCCATGTTTCTCGATCCAGCACTGAGCCGTTCTAAGAGGACTTTACGATTTGATAATTGTCAGTTAGGAAGACCAGATTGCTCATCGTGTACTTCTTCCAAGCTGGTCCAGAGTTTTTAACGCTTTTTCGGAAACAATGCGTGCATCAAGAACTTTCCGAGACCTACGTCCAGCCGCTCTTGAATTACTGTGGCCGTTATCGTGTTTGCTATCTTGGGATACGCATGTTTTTGCATTGCGACTCGACGGTGATGATTGACTGCATTGCGTGCAGTGTTCGAAGGTTCAAGCGGTTTGCAACGTGTAAATCGATCCACCCACAACTAGCAAATGGTGCTAGTCATGAGTAACCTTTTCGAACGACCTGGGTTTCAGCACTTGGTAAAAACCCAGACGTGGTCGTGTTTCGTGCTGGCAGTTGACGGTATCAACGTTTAGGTGCTCTATGCGAACGGGAGAAAGTTCTGAATTTGTTTTATTTTGTAACAGCTTTGTATTGAGACATCGCTTTGCTCTGCTTGGCATATTAGGTCGATGCCGGAGGCAGACTGCAGGGAGAATGGAAAGTGCTATCCAATATCACTTCTGTGATCTGCTACACGACGTAGTGTTGCAAGATCGATTCCTCTGTCATATTCCGTCAGCAAGTATCTCCTCCTCTCGTGACAGCAGCATGCTAGAATAACTCGGTTTGCTGAGTTCAGCCCATGATCTTGCACTCACCCGGAGAAAGCATTTCCATGCCCACGGCCGATACGTTGATGCTCTGTAGCTCTGAAGTCGTACATGTAGCACAAACATCATGTTGCACAGATGGTCCAATCAGCTTCGCTTCGGGTACGAGTAGTCCCAGAAGGACCCTCTGCCAGCCAGACCTTCATGTGTTGTGGCAGTGCAATTGTGCCCTGTCACACCTGCACGTGTATAATCCAAGTGTGATGTGTAGGTCCAGCGACCGCTGACGATATACATGTCATACCGGGTGGACATACGTTAGCAGCAGCTTTGCCATGAGCTACAACTTGTAGAAGGTCATGTTCATGATCGCAAACAAACGCTGTACCGGCCATGGGTCGAATCGCACCAAGAACCTGCTGACAAATATCCACAAATTCGAGTGTTGGGACGAGGATTTGCCTCTTTCAGCCGTTATAAGAACAGTCGGCGCATCGGCACTGAGGGTTTTATCAGCACTACACTGTCATCTGCTCTGATCCGTGAATACTCCCCCATCGAGTGAGTTCTCATACGCGTGTCCTTCGACGGATGAACCTAGGAAGGACGCACCTTTGTCGAGCACATTGTTGTACTTTATTTTAGCAGCATGACCACTGACGAGACGTCAAACACAGCAGTGCATAATAAATGGCCCCATCGGGCAATTGCGTTGCCTTGCACTATGTACACGTCTTCATGTGAAAAAAGCGATCTATCGGAGTGGAGCAAGTTAGCAAGCGTGTACCCCTTGTACCTCAATATGGAGTAACGATAGATCAACTCCATTGCCACGTACTTGAGCCATTGTCGTCTCTGACAAGCGCCACATCTCAGATTTACCGGAAAACCAAACTTCCAATTGCATGTGTTTGCGTAACACGTTCACCAAGCACCAAGAAGCATTCTGTACACTGCGTTACGCCCGGAGCTTCACTGTACCTTTGTGTAATCTCTGGCCAACTCAATCCATTACTTCACGATGCTCGCGCACTCAGCGCTATTCCGTCGCCCTGCCGGCATTTGCTCACGCAATATCAAGGCCACACACTTTCGAGCTTGGCATTCGCCAAGCATATTCCACATCGAAAGCAGGTTTGTTCACCCTCGCTAAACATTTTGATTCGAAAGCCGTAGCGCTGTATTTCGGATCGATAAGCACGAGTGATAGCAATAACGCTACGCCAGCGACCCCAACAAGGTCGGTCGAGCTTATTCCAACAAAGCAAGAGTACTGTGTGCAGCGCAGAAACCGAGACGAAGAAAGCCACGGTTATCACCATGACAAGGTTCACCATTTCGTGTCCGCACAAAGACTTGCGCCAACGTAGGGCTGCTGAATAAAGAAGATAGGCAACCTCGAGATGTCGTCGCGTATACGAAAGCCAGTCCGAGACATGATCTATCAAACGAAAGGTGAGCAAGCACCGACCGACTATAGACCACATGGGTCCAATGTCCGATATGTACTGCTCGAGCACCTTCCTGCGAGCGCACCAAAGAGGACAATTCACCGGGCATGGACGTTGCCCGCGTCCTAGAAATGCGGCGTGATGTACGGCCAGGACTTCAAGCTTACATTTCTGCTGCTGGCAGCACTTGCCTCAATGAAGCTACTGAAAACGTCGAGCTGAGCTTGTAAGGGTCGACACTTAGCACCACAATTGTGCTCAAGCCCATAAGTCTGCTACACCGTGCCGCCAACATGGCTGAGTCTGACAAGTGCAACCCGTGCAGGCAAAGACCAAGCACCACTTACGACCACACAAGCAGTTCATCGCTGTCGTATTGTAGTATGCCAACCGACACTGGCACTTGATACCCGGCCGGATACCTCTCGACCAACAAAAATGCTTCAAAAAACGCAACAACAAGAATTCGGGTGCGCTTGAAACAGAAGCTGCTGCGGCAACACAGATTCGACGTGAAATGAAGATTATTGCCGACATCGAGTCTTCAGAGGCCGTTACATGAGCAGCCGATACAATACTGCTTTCACACTCTGCGAAAAACCTGCACACTTTGGTTGCCCAGCAAAAAGCGACATCGCAGCGCATAACCATGGAATAAATGGCGGACTCTCCGCACGCAACTTCCAGAAACTTCATCCTTTCCACCGGGTATGGAATATATTACCTTCCACGCTAGCTATTGTGTGCGCAAGCGCCCATTCATGGGGGGAGGGGGCGCATCATTCAAGATGGAAGACCCTCGAGCCCCAAAGCTGTCGTCTTCTTCACAAATGCTGCGACTCCTTTGATCATGACTTCTCTTGCAACGCAAGCTGGCGGTACTGGGTCTGCTGGAAGGCCAGGCTATGGTGGCGGCTGTATCCAAAGTACACGGCCACAGCTAGTAGCAACCAGACTACAATAAGCAATACACTCATACCGTCCATCTGAGCAAACAAGAACCAGTTGAAAAAGATAGCTACACACGGCGCGAAAGGCACGAATGGGGCTCGAAACGTCGAAACCACTTTGTCAGCTCTGTCTTCTCCGACGCTAGCGCCAGACGATGAAACCGTATCGCCACTGCTCTCGCTGGTATCCTCTGAGGCCCCACTACAGAGCGATCGGTCTTGTTCGGGGCAAGACATTGATTCAGATAGCTTACGCTGACATTCAGCCTCACCATCTTCCATTTTTATGTCCTTCTCGCCATTGTCTTGATCGAAAGAGCCGCTCCGAAGACGGCAGCTGTCTTCATCCGTCACAAGAGAGCCTTGAGACTTCTTTAGCGGCAAATCAGTTGCTCCAGCACCTGGAGCGTCAGCATCTGCACGCGCAGCGCGTGCCTTTGCAGCAACAGTTTTCTGTTTCGTTTCTACGTCACTCAGCGCAAACATGAGTGCAATAGCAATCATCGAAAAGAGAGCAGCAGCATATGGTCCCACAGTCTGCATATAGCGATCAAACATCACAGTGTCCGTTGTCGCCGAGAGCGAAACGCTCGCAACGACTCCTTTCTGCCAGTGAACCGCAGCTAGAAATGAAAAGACCAGGTACGCTGCAATCATCGCACCAGGCGAATACTTTGGCGGCGTCGCTTCCTCCTCCGCACCTCTCTCCTGCACGTTAGAGCTCGTTGTAGCTCGAACCATGAGAAGCGAACTATTGGTTAAATTAAACGCAACGAGAATCCCGAGCGAAATGACGTTCCAGAGCACGTTAAAAGGCACAAACAAAGCCAGCGCCGTCGCGCCCATACCACTCAACAACGTGCCACGAAAGAGCGTGCCATTGCCGTCCACGTCTGCGAACACTTTGGGCAGCAGTCCGTCCTTTGCCATGGCGTATTGCACCCGTGGCTGCGCCAGAAACGCAATGAACGACGTGATGGGCATCGTCAGCACTTCACCCACAGCGACAAAGGACGCGGCCCAGGGCAGTCCAATGCTCGTAAAAGCAGTACCAAATGCTTCGTCGGCGTCAATAGCCGTGTACGTTTGCATGCCCACGAGCGCCATTGTCGCGAGGATGCTGAGCGTCGCGGCCCCAACGATCGTGCCGACAATAGCACGTGGGATGTTCTTGGCCGGGTCTTTGGCTTCACCTGCAAGGCAACATACTTCATCGTAGCCAATGTAGCCATAGAAACTGGCTGAAGCTCCGACGAGGACACCGGGCCAGCCAAAAGCAGCGTACTTCGTGGCAGGGTCACTATTCGGAATAGTGACCATGCGCTCAGCCGGGACAAACGGGACGAGATTCGACGCCTGAAAGTGCCACAGACCCACGACTATGATGAACAGCACGACCGTGATCTTGGCCATGGTCACGACGTTCACGAGGACTTTGTTCGTGTCCATGCCGCAGAGACCAACGGCCATGCACGTGGCGGTCAAGAGACCGGCGCACACATCAACCTTGACTGTGGACGGCGATGTTGAAGGGTGCAGCGACGGGGCGCTATTTTCGCTTACGTACGATTCCACTAAGTGCGATACTTTCGTGCTCCAGCTGCGGGCCCCGCCGGCGCTTGAGACGCCGTACTCGAGCGTCAAGAGGAAGCCGGCAATGAGCGCGGGGAGCTCGCCTAGCGCGTGGTACGCGTAGGCGTAGGTGCTGCCGGCTGTAGGGAGGAGACACGCGAGCTCCATGAAGCTCAAGCCGCTCAAGAGACAGCCGAGACCGGCAAGAAGCCACGAGAGAGGAGCGGCGGGACCGGCGTAGCGACTGGCAATGAGCCCAGCGACGGCAAAGACGCCCGAGCCGACGGTGCCGCCGATGCCGACCATGATGAGGTCAAAGAGGCCGAGTGTACGACGCATCTCGACGGTGGGGGTGGACGAGGCATCGTCGGTGGGCAGAGGGGACGCGGGGCGCAGGGGCTTGCGCCATAACGCGAGACGCAGCGCGGACATGGCGGAAAGGACGCGGGATTCGCTTAGGTGCGAGTTGCACTTGACGCGCACGTTGGTTGCTTTTGGGCGTGCACAGAAACGGGACGACGACGTCGAGTGTCGGGCACGTTTTGCGCTCGTCTTTTGGGTTTTTAGGAGTAGGAAGTGGGAGTGGGGAATGGGCGTTGAGGTTGCTATTGCAGGGTTGGATACATGCGAATAGCGACTCGCGCTGGGCGGGAGGAGCGTGTTTTTGTGTCATTTGTGCTGACACCCTTTCATTCGTGCCCTTTTTTATGTGCGTGCGGTAGGTATGCTATTTGATAGGTGGCAGTCCTGCTTTTTGTAAAAAGAGTACACCGCTATCGATCCTATCTGCTACAAAAACGTAGCTCTTTAAGTGCACAGCACACATATTTTCCACTTCGAGGAGACCACACACTACTATCACCACCTACGTGCACCATGACGAAGACCGTGCTGTGCATGAATCCGGGCCCGATTGAGTTTGAGCCGCGCGTGCTCCAATCTTTTGCCATGGAAGGCATTTCTCACGTGGACAAGACCGTGATCGAAGTCTTTGGCCAGTGCCTCGAGAAGATGCGCAAGGTTTTCTTGGCGCCGGATGGGCAGCCGCTCATTGTGGCTGGATCGGGGACACTTGGATGGGACATGGTTGGTGCGAACCTCGTGAACAAAGGCGATGACGTACTTATTGTCAACAATGGTAAGTACGGTGTTGCTCCTATGTGATTGGATAAAAAGAGTTTCGAAAGGTTACGCTGGTTATGCGTTGAAACAGGATACTTTGGCGACAATTTTGGCCAGTGCTTGGAGTGCTACGGTGCTTCGACCACGCATGTTCGTGGCGAGGTAATTAAACAAGAGAGTGTCTTTTTGTTTTGAGAAGTGACAAAAACACAAGTCAAAGCACAACATACTAAAAAATGTGGTGGTTAATTGATAGCAGATTGGCTCACAGGCATCAATTATGGAGCTCGAAGCAGTTCTGCAGCGTGGCGTCAACTTCAAAGTCGTGACCATTACGCATGTCGATACCTCAACAGGTGTTTGTGCTCATGTGGAGGAAATCGCAGCTGCAATCCGTCGTATCCAGCCAAATGCTGTCATTGTACTCGATGGGGTATGCGCTACCGGGGGAGAAGTTACTCGCATGAAACAGTGGGATATCGATGTGGTGCTTACGGGTTCCCAGAAATGCATTGGCGTACCCGCCGGACTGAGTCTAATGGTCATTCGTCCCCGTGCGCTGCAGCTATTCGAGACCAACACGTCGAGAGTTAAGTATTACGTGGACTGGCGCAATTGGCTGCCGATCATGAAGAACTACGAGGCGCGGCAGCCCAGTTACTTTGCGACACCGTCTGTGAACCACTTGTTCGCTCTGAATGAGGCATTGAATATTTTGCTGGAGAACGGCGGCATGGAACAGCGCTTTAGAGAGCACAAACTTATTGGTGACGCCGTGAAGGAGGCCATGACGACGTTGGGCTGCTCGCTCGTGACAGTGGACGGCTGCGGTGCAAACACGCTGACTTGTGTCCGCTATCCCATAGGTGTTGGTGCAGCTGACTTTTTGCCAAAGGCTGTCAAGCGTGGCGTTTCGCTCGCGGGTGGTTTGCTCAAGGCTATTAAGACGGAATACTTTCGTATTGGCCACATGGGTCCAAGCACGCGTCGACTGGACCATATTCTGAAGACAGTCGACGCTATCGAGGGTGCGCTTATCGAGTGTGGCCACAAGGTGGCGCAACCAGGAAAAGCGGGCAACGATCTGAAGAAGAAGCTGAAGCCATTCATTCCGCTGCGTCCAGTACGTGATCAGTCGTCAGTTTTCCGCGGTTGCCCTGTGCCTCCGATGTGCCAGGTGTACTCGATTGGCGCGGTGGTCGTTGCGTTCGCAGCTGGGCTCTTGATCTCGCAGGTCCAGCGAGCCCATTAGGCTGTTACGTTCATGAGCAGGACAAGTGCGGCGTGAGGTTGGATGCGAATCTGGATGGAATGAAACACATGTGGTGCATGCTGCGTGTACCAAGACGACGCCTCGTAATGCGTGGCGATGAGAGGATCAACAGTCGTGAGCTTGTCAGTGTTTGACTCCAGTTGGCAGCCAATCAGTAGTCAGTCCGACGTTTCGGTACATTTACTAGCACTTGACGCTTTGGAATTCATTCCGTGCCGTGGGGCCGACAATTGCACACATTGTTCTGATTTGCACTTCAAAAAGTATTCCTCACTTTCAGTAATTCGCAGCAAAACTAGGATGCGACTGATCATAAATTGCAGCCGTAATTGCAGATCGAAAACTCTGCCTCGGAGTTCTAAACCACAAAACCTTGACTCTCGTCATCGTCGTCAACTTAGTCGAGAGATACTAGCTATCCGACTTCGTCACGACGGGTACGATAGTCGTACGAGCATGCCAGCCACGAAATTCGACAACGCGGTAGGACCTCGAACACTTCAATATCACTTCTGCTGTCGTTAATCTCACGCCTGCTGTCAATGATGCTACCATCAAAATGCCAATCAGGAATGTGCCAAGCTGCAGCGTGAATCGCTCGACTGCATCTTCCGTAAGTGAGCTCATCCATTCACTTGAATCCGCTATATTCGTCTCAAAACTTACCTCCCCCTCACTCCCTTTCGTATCCAGGTCACGAAGAGGACAAACATGTCTGCCAGCCCTTCTTCGACCGGTACAAAAAGTGTCTCAAGGATCGTCGAGAGCGGCAAGTTGCTGAGCGCAAAGCGCGACGTCACGGATAAGATCCGTCGCATTGGTTTTCCTCGGGTCACGATACACCCAGAGAAGCAGAAGACTACGAAGATGAAGGGCCTCTGCACTTTGACGTTAGATACGTGGCAGCTCCTTGATGCCTGCCTCCTCGTCAGTCTCCAATCCAACCAGATCCAGCACAACCTTTGGCTTTTTCTCCATTCCGTCTGCGATCTGGTTGATCCCATCCATTGCAATGCGTTTACGCGCCACCCATGCAGTCTGTTCACAATCGACACAGTGAAAACTCGCACTCTTTCGACCAACCAAACAAAGCACAATGAGTACTGTCGCATGCTGACGGAGACGTACGCGGTATGTCGCGAACTTGCGCTTTAGGGTCTCCTTTCGCCCAGGAGACAAAGGAGCTCGGTCTTGTTGATCCAACGTCTTTATCTTCTTCTCCAAAGCTGCTGCTTCCTCGTCAAGTTGCGTCAGCATCGTATCCAAATCCGTGTCCGAGATCTGCGAGGCAAGACCTGCCAGCGTCGTCTCCGCCTTCTTCAACTGCTGTTCTAATGCAGTACATTCGGCTGTAACAGCCTTGATCTGCTCCTCCAACGCCACTCGCTCTTGCTCGGATGGTACCGGTAAGTTCTCTTGGTTCACAAAGTAGATCTTTGCCTTGCCATACGTCTTGCTCACGAGCTCTTTCCTAGTACAACACGAGATCATCAACCAACAACAACATGAAAATGTACAATACAGCCCACCAGTGAAAACACACATCTTACTTGGCCACGAGATTGTCCAGCAGCGTCGTCAAAGATGGCTTGGCAATGACCCGATGCATATTCTCTAACACATTCAGCAGACTGTAAGGTCGATTGGTCTAGCACAACCATCCAGCACCAGCAGTTCATCAGATTACAGCCACTGTGGTATTGCAATACATCCTCAACAACAAAACAGCAAACATAGATATAAACATAGATAGTACAAAAGACCTTTCGCATATAATCCAGCACGGCAGCTTCTGCATTCGCTGCTGTCAAAGCCTTTGGCTTGGAAGATATCGGCGACTTTGTAGGAACAGCTACAGTTTTCCCCTTCGTCGCTGCAATTTTCTCACTCGGGTCACTTTTTCTCCCCATTTTCGATCTTGAGCTTAATTTTACATCGTTTTGAGCCCTTTTGGCACCTCGAGAGTTCGTGCGAGCCACCTCGGCTTTCTTGACTGTATGTGCCGCTCTTTTTCCAGAGATTGACGCGTCACTTGCAACCGCTTCGTCTTCCTCGGCTTCACTTCCACCTTCACTCCCCTCTTCTTCCTCTTCCTCCAGTGCCGACGAAACTTCGGCTTCCGAGGAATCGTCACCTAGCGAGAACTCGTCATCGTCCAAGTCGCTCATAGCCAACCTAAACTGAATCGGGAAGCTACAGATTGAAAACTCGGACTTGGGGTTATAGGAAGCGCAACCTACACTTTTGTTCAGCCGTTCCGACCAAAGGGTCGTCGCATCAGTTTTTTCCGATCACTTTAAACTCTAGTTATCGTTCAGCTAGTTTTTTCTTCACAGTTGCGTCGCTTTAAGTACCAGCTACAAGCATAGGTTCGTGTCGCGTCGCCAGCGTCAGTCCAGACTCGTAGTAGCTCGTCACACTTGGAGTGGAACTCGCGATCGAAGTATCCGTCAGGCTGTCCGTGCCCGTATTGAAACTCTCGGACTTTCCAATAGGAATTTCCACACCATGGGGTTTCGAGTCCAGCAATGCGCTGGTAACCATTTCCACTGCAGACGCCACGCTTCGTTCCGCTGTAGCACTTTGCGATCCAATCGCCTCTTTCCCAGTCCCAGCAACAACAAAGAGACCTTGGAACTCGTGAAAGTCCACGTCTCCATCCTCCTTTTTACTGTCCATCGATGCAATCAGCTCGTCCACTTCTTCAGCTTTGACCGCGTTTCGGACCACGTGCTGAGGTCCGATCGCTGGTAACCGGCCGTGATTCTTGCTATCGAAAATGCTAAACGCCTCCTTGATAGTGTCCGTGCTGATCTCGCGCTCGTCGATTGTCGCAGCCATGAACTCCAGGAAGTTGATGTAGCCACTCTTGGATTGATTGATGCACTGGAACAGCGTGCTACTGTCCTCCTCATTTGCAAGACCGCTCGTGAGCAAAGTACGGCAGAACGCCGTACGCGATAGTGACCCTGTGTTCGTGGAATCCATTGAGTAGAACACCTCGGCTGCAATTTTCTGCTGCATGTAGTCATCCGAGAGCACGAGAGCTACCGCCAAGAGTGCCGTTTGTTTCAGCTTCTGATACTTTCCAAAGCGACGCATATTGGTCAGCAGTACGCGGGTATCATTCTGAGCTCGGGTTGTAAGCGAGGGGTCGACACTCATGATCTCTTCTTCGTTGAGCCAGTACGTCGCCAGTGCCTGTTTCGCCGACAAGCGCTCGTTAACATCTCCTTTCACCAGCGACTTGATGAAAAGAACAGAGCCCGGAGAGAACTGGGACCAGACCTCGGGCTCAAAGATCAAGACGCCGTCATAGATCTTTGCCATCGTATCATCGATTGTGTCCCCGTGGAATGGCGACGTCCCGGTGAGCAGCTCAAAGCAGATCACGCCCACACTCCAGAGATCACACTTTTCGTCGTACTCTCCGTCCAATACTTCTGGCGCCACGTAATCGATCGTCCCCACTGGTTCAATCAGCTTCTCACCTCGCTGCAAGCGTGTACTGAGACCGAAGTTACACAGACGGATCGAGCCTGGATCGGTAGCGTCTGTCAGTAACAAATTCTCGAGCTTCAAGTCTCGATGGATGATCGAGTTCGAGTGCAAAAAGACTAGAGCACGCAGCAGCGCACGAATGACTTTGCGTACGTCGCTCTCTGTGAACTTGCGCTGCTCTTGGTACAACTGTTCATAGAGCTCTTTACCTTCACAGAGCTGCATGACCATGTACAGATGCTCTTTGTCTTCGAAGGATCCACGGATCTGCACGATCTGAGGATGATGCAGTCGCTTCAAGATGCTGATTTCATTCCACAAAGCATCGCGATCGACTTGATTGCCCAGCGCAACGATCTTGACCGCCCACGCTTTGCCAGATTTCTTGCTTGCCGCGTGCTTAACGCAGCTAAAGTAACTCGTACCAATAGCGGTGCTCACATCAAAGAACTCGCTGATGTCACTGATGTACTTGTGCTGGATCAAGTCCAACGTGACATTGTCCCGGAGCCTCTTTTGACCTTCTCTCGCCGTGAGCGACATCACGATATCATCAGCTTTCGAGTGGCGGCATCCCATGATATGGTCTCGATAGGAACAAAGTGACTATGTGGAGTAAGTGTCTTGATCAGTTGAGTTGTCTACCGGTCGAGTTCCAGGTAGTAGTTATAGTAGTTGCAGTTGCAGCACTGAAGCATCACGATGGGTACAATCTGTTGGCAGAAAGTCCGACTTGGCTTACGCTTGTCGTTTCGTAAAGGTGTAGAAAAGAGACGTATCGCAAGTTCAGTTGCTCAAGAGTTGCTGGTATCCCGAATGGCGACGTGGCGACGCGTCATTTTTCTCTTGCGACTGCACAGTCGTTTGGATCTGCTGGCATACAACCCATGAACCCGCGTCTGTCCTCTCGTTTCAACGCTTTTTCGGGTCCTTTTACCAAACAGACCGACAAAAAACGACGTAACAGATGACGCTTCTTTTTGAGTTGTTGAAACGCAGTTGGCGTTTCGTAGGAGACGAAACAGCACTAACTCAGTACCGACGTCGTTTTCCACGACAAGAGTCGCCACGTACCTCCGTCACAACATCGTCAAAAAGTTGAATTTAAAGTCACGCGTCGCACCTGCAGCGACCTTCCCTGCTTTTTGACGCTGCTGTCGTTGCTTCGTCGCCGCTGGATTTCGACGTCCCTGACCATATCGCAAGTGCATCTTGGCCACTTCACTCTCTGTGCCTGTCGCTTTGCGGAGTTTCACAAATGGCGCGCCTTTCGCCGCCTGAACCTGTCCTGCTTGAACCTGCTGCTGCCCTTTACTTGAGTTCCTCCTCCTCCTCCTCTCCATGTCTTTTGCAGGACCTTGTGGCAGAATGACCGTCTCGAGTCCAACGTCAAGTGGTGCTCTATTGACGTCCACAGTCTCGAGCTCCAGCATCTTGTCGTCCTCTTGTTCTCCTTGAGCTCGTCGCTTCTGCTTCCTTTTCATCCGTTTGCGAGTCCTCTTGCACTTGGTCCCAGGAGCTTGGTCCGTTATAGTGGCAAACTCGAACTTGAACGCCGTCTCTGCTGACTTGCTGGCCGCTTCCACCATCTCTTCACGAGTGGCTTCTTCAATCTCCTCGCCTCGCTCGTTCATCTGCTTGACAGTCACGAAGATCCGACGCTTGGCCGCAAAATGAGCAGCCAGTGAAGTGCCAGCAGACGTGTCCGTCATGTAGGTAGTAACCTTCGGACGGGATCACTTAACCTGCGTGGCTATGCTGTTTTTGACCGCAGGTTTCTAAAGGTGTGGTGGTTAATTATATGAGAGCAGCTAAAACCACTGGAGCACAAGTGTTTCGACCTATTTACACACACACAACAAGTCGCACATGACGCTCGTTTTTCTAGGGAACTCCGGTATTACATCTTCCATGCATGCATTGAATGCCCTCTATCGCGTACATGGATGCCGAAGAAGACGTTCTTTTCGTTGCATATTGTCAACTAGAGCTTGCCAGTTGTAGCGCTTGACAAATTCAGTGGACTAAGAAGTGGTGAATGAGTTTTGTTTCGTAGCTCTTCGTCGAGTGTCCAAGTCGGTGGCAAATGTGCGGTCTCCGGTCATTCGGAGACTCTTGGAAGCTCTAGAGCACGAAGTGGTGCGTTGTGTTTAGTCACCAACTGGTTCTTCTTCTTCTTCTTCTTCATGTCGTTTTGCAGTACAAGTGGTGACATCTCTGCTCACACTGGTAAAATGGTGTCCCAATGGCAGCGTCAGGAAGCTGGCATCGGGATCGCTGCACCGCAAGTTGGTCATAATTTACGAATGTTTCTCATGCTCAAGCACATGCCAGAGAATGAGGAAGATCTGAAGAAACTCGAGTACCAGAAAGTGCTAAACCCTGACATTTTGGCCGCGTCCGATGCTGTGATGCGCGACTTTGAAGGTTGTCTCAGTGTTCCTGGCTACCAGGGCATTGTCAAGCGAGCACAGCAGGTTCTAGTGCAGTACGAAGATGGTGAAGGTCGCCAAGTCAAAGAAACGCTGACCGGTTTTCCCGCACGTGTGTTCCAGCACGAGCTGGATCACCTCAACGGGGTCATGTACCTCGATCGCATGGAACCCGGCAGCCTCATTCACAATGAAGAATTTGAGGCAATGGAGTGGGATGACATTCAACAACTGCTGCTACAAGGACCTGGATTGACTCCTCCTCCTTTTGCCGTGTCGACAGCTACACAGGCCAGTAGCGACCATCGAAAGAAGAAGGGCAAAGGCATTGGCAAGAACAAGGACTAGATAGCATGCCGCCGATCGCGGATTTATCGGGTAACAGATAGTATCCAACTACGTAGTTCCTTGGTGATCGAGTCGACAATGACCATCAGACAAAGTACTTGTCAGCTCCTTTCTTGTCTGCCTCTGGCTTTGCTCCTGCTTTAGTCCGTAAGGCGCGACGCAACGGCCGGATACATTTTGCAGCTAGGAGCGTTACAACTGCAACAAGCGCGACAAAAGTAGCACCATACCGAAGTTTCGTCAGCACTGACGTCTTGTAGAACGTGTACCCATTCAGCACGTTCTCGATACACTCCATTCTCACAGTAATTGGCGTCATGTACGACGAGCCGTACTCAGCTCGAGCCAAGTAACTCGCGTTACGAGGGACTGTCACCGGTACGTTCAAAAAGAATGCGGGTTCATCGTGCAGAGGCAGCACTTGGTCGTACAACAAAAATTGGCCTCGAATTGTACGATCGTCATTGACGAGCCACTTGACACCGGTCTTTGCATCCACTTCTTGTCGATACAACCAGATATCGGCATGAGAGCCTTTTGCTCCTTGATCCAAGAACAACTGCACCAACTCTCGCTCCGAGTGGTACACCACGTGCACAGGTCTCTGCAGCTCCAAAGTTGCCTCTTTTTGTACGACCGTGGAGAAATTACGGACACTTTCAAATTGCTGCAAAAAGTCCGTCTTGAGCATCCCAATGTCCGAGTCGGTATCCCCCACTGGAATGCGGTGTTGACCTCTCGTAACGAATAACAAGTTCCCAAATGCCACCCAGTAGGGCACGTGCTGACGTCGACACATTTCGTACACAAAACGCGCCAACAGCTCAATTTCATAGTGAAAAGTGGTGCTATTGGGACATCCGTGGGCGTAATAGAGCTCCAATGAGACGCCGAGGACAAAGAAGGTGGAGCTCAAGACGAGCAGTGTCCAAAGGAAGTACTTGCGGTTAGAAGCACCAGAGCTGGACATGTCACCACTACCATATTTGTACGACCGAGGGTGAGTCAGCGCCATAAGAGCAGCCACAGGGACGACGAGAGCCAGCAGGAACCAATTGCCATCCGCGATGAAGGACGGCAGCAGGACTGTCATGGCTACGGATGGTACGGAATGTCACGCGGGACACGAGGGTTTGCTTCGAGTTGTAACCGTGGATGTGGTAATTGTGCTTGAAAATTACAGTTTTAGACAACAGTTGATCGCTTGATGGGTATACTACGACCGTGTCCAGTGGTCGGACAAATTTGGTCCACGTTTTGTACGAAAATAATGTCGTTGTACGAGGGGCGCGATAAGCGGCGTATCAAAGACAAAAATTTGCACACACGGTCATTCATTTTGTACGAGCGCTAACGACGTAAGTACAAATGCTGGGGCAGTCCGACGACTCGACCAGAAGTCATCAGAGAGACAGCTCTGTGATGACTGCATGTGTTGTCCGCATCCAGCGCTTCTACCAGAACCATTTATTATATATCACGATTAATCAAATTGTCGAGGGTCCGCTTCGAGCGTTACTGAACTTGCCGATGTTTCGTCCGCATCTGGTGCTAGACACAAGCGAGTTTCGTATCGCAACTACTGAGACAAATGGAAAAGGCCTGGAAGGGAGACAGGGGCCACTGGAAATCCATCGTAAACATGTCGTCAGCCACACGACCAAACTGCAGGATGTTGCCCATCGACGGGTCCTCGCTGCTGATCAGCTGGAAGTTCTTTACCGACGCCATCGACACTCGTCCACCAAAGTCCAAGCAGTACGCGCCCAAGTCTTCACGGAACACAGGCTCCCGATTCGAAAAGCGCATCAGGTCTTTCATGTCTCCCGAAGAGAGACGAGTGACGAGTCGATCTTGACGACTCATCGGTCGTACAATCTTCGAAGACCCGCCTTCTTCGTCCACATCCGGAATCACGACCCGCATTTTCCGCGGCCCGACGCTCGTCCGATTCGGTTCGTACGTGACACATCCCAGCTCTTCCCGGATCTGGAGCACATTCTGCACCACGACGTCGTCCGAGCTCACGGCATCCTGAATCTTTGCCAGTTTCTGTGGATCTCGTCCATTGTCATACAGTGTAAAGCACGTGCCGAGAAAATTGGAGCCCATGCGTCCAATGCGCTCGGCGTCCGTGCACTCCTTGTCCGTGCAAATCGTGTAGTTGGCCGTCATGTTCGAACGCACTTGACGTCTCGCCGCGAGCAGAAACTTGTCCTCTTCTTGAGTCCCAATCTGTCCTTGCAAGTACAGCTCGTAGCCGTACTGTTTAAACAGGCCACGGTACACCTGCTTCACGTAACACCGGATAATCCCAGCATCCAGAGGGACCGGCTGCAGAGCCATCTTGGTCACGTCCTGCAGCTCGAGCTTCTGCATCGGCTGCAGCACCAGCGGGTCACAGGCGCCACGACACAGCGGACAGCTGCCGGATTGCCCTAACCACGCCATAATGCACCGGTAGTGCACGTAGGCACCGGTACATTGACCGGTACACGGTAAGGGGTACGCTTTGCGTCGAGCCGAGAACTCGTCCATGCAAATTAAACACCCTTCGCCATCCTCGAGGAGCTCGTCGGTGGTCTTACCGTCGTCCAGTTCTTTCGATACCGGTATGACCGTCTCGTTAAGTACGGTCTCGTAAGTGCGTTTTCCAGCCGCGTCCAGAAAATGCACGGCTTCGGTCGGCACAGTACCGTCTACAGTGCGACTGTTTAAACCGTCTGTCTGACCGTCTCGACGGTATAAAAGCGTATCCACTTGGCCATTATCGTCTGTCTCAGCGGCTTTGCCTTCCTCGTCGTCATGGTCGACCAACTGCTCTGCACGTCCACTATTGGCGGAAATTAAAGCGTTTCGTGTCGCTTTTTGGCCAATCAGCGCACGTCGACGCGGAGAACACGCCGCTGCTAGCTCTGCTGACTCGGCGTCAGCGAACGCGCGCGACGAGTGATGCACGGCCCGTGGAGACAAGTGGCGGGCGGACAGAGCCCGCGTGGACGTCGTCGTCGCGACGCGCAGGGCGCTGTGACTGCTCGGACTCGACGCGGTGGTCGACATGGGCTTTTTTTCTTCTGGTGAAGCTGTTTGGTGTTATAACACTCGAGAGGGAAGGAGAAGAGGAGGTTTTATTTTAATATTTTGATAATTGCGCACGCGGTCTGTCTCTCTCTCTCTCTCGCTTCCACCGTGGCTTTTTTATGTGTCCAAACATCTGTGTTTGTGAGCTCGATTTCGTGTGACTGACTGCAATCGATCAGGCCAGGGCGTGCGGAACGCTACCGATTGGCTGAAAAGGTGAAGCGTCTGGCAACTTCAATGTCCAAGAGCATGTTCTGTGGCTATTTCTGGAATAAGCACGGACTGTTATGCGCGTGCAAGCAGGATAGACTTGATGCAACACCGTATAACCGGCCGTCCTTGTCATCGCGTTGTTAGCATCGTATTTGGCGACGTGTCTAAGTGTGCGTGAAGTAAACAAGCGTGAGGCAAGCGCGTCAAGGCGAGAGGAGTTGCACAAAGCGGAGATAGCATAGACGTACTATGCTCGTAAAAAAGATCTTCATAGCAAGAAAGAAAACGACGTCACGAGACGGGTTTCGGATCAGTTGTCGGTGGAAGGAGGGGCAGACGAAAGCGAGAGTGGCCATTTACTACCACTTTGGACTCAGGAATAAGGCACTGCATCGCGCAATAACAACAACGGCCAGGACCCTTTGTCGTCTTAGTGTTGCCTTTTATTGGGTCAACATACAGGCAAAATCAATTGATTTTGGAGGACGTGGCGTTTCAGAAAGTTCCTGATTCTTTCCTGATCTTGACTGTTGATGGTTGGAATTCGACGTGAGTAGCCAGTCTCAATCCTGCAACAAGTCGATTTATGGAAGAGAACGTGTCAGGAAAACGTGACGATTGACACGAATGCGTTCGCATGGGTGAGGTGATACTCACTCATGCGCAAACGGGAGTATGTTTGCCTTGTTAAACAAGGTGAGCGCTCGTAAAGAACACAGTATGAATGTTGTACACGGGTGCCCCTGGATGAGCTGAGGATGAAAAAAACTGGAAAACCGATGCGCTCAGTCGCCTCCGGAGTACACGGTCTATGTAGCTTGCATCTTCATCATTGTCGCGCAAGTCTTGCTACTCCGTGCTTCAGCACAAGTCACACACCGTCAGACCCTGCGATGATATATCGCCACTAGAAATAAGAGTCGGTCTACCATTTCGACAAAAGTGATCTGCAAGGGCTTTTACATGAATCTATGTGTGCTTGCACCGCCAACTACTTATTTCGAGCAGCACACCGTGCTCCAGTCCTTAACTAGCAAGAATTAGTGCCGGATACAAGAGGCGCAGCTAACTTTGCAATATCAACGTAACCGCTCTGGCTGATGTTCCACGACGGCTGCACGGCTTCGTGACGGATGCTTGCCTGGATCACGGCGTACTAGAACAAGTTCTCTAAATTGGATAGCCACGAGAACATGATCAAGATCTATAATATCGTGGCAGCTACGCGTACTTTGCCTATCACGAACAGTTTTCCAATTGCTGAACAATCACAAGCCAGTCACAATGGTCACGAACGGTGACATATACACATGTATCTACAATGCTTCGTCAACCATCGTCTGCGCCATCCTCTGATGCAACACCATCTATTTATTCCCCCACACTCCTACATGCTTCGTGAAGGACAACTCATAGCGTCGAAAACATCAACAAATACGCCTGCAAGAATACAACGATACAGGTTTTGCGTGACATCCACGGGGTCTCCCCAACAAAAGCTACAGCTACGAGGAAAACAGTGATTTCGTGCAAAGCGACCTTCACGTAGTATGAACTCCCACCCTTAGCTTTGCATCGAGATTTTTCGTGCCTTCCGCCCGCCTTCGGGACAATGGGATGTACCCTCAAGTACTAACCGCAGCCGCAGTGCGTATGGATCTACCTACTGCTCCTTCTTTACCAATGGAGCTTGTCGAGTGCCACCTTGTGTGAAGAGAGTGCTTTGGCTTCCAACAAACACTCGAGACAGAAGAGCATGGATTTCTGCAACACTTGACCCCCTAGACCAATGCAGATCTTCTTGTTCACAGAACATCGACCACAGAGTAGACGGCGACAGATCTGACACGCGCCTCCTTTGTGCAGCACGAGCGTTCGGAATTTACTCATACTGCGTGTACAGTTGGCACACGTGTTGGTGGTCGTCATGCGACCCAAGACGCTGCTAGTGCAGGGCGATATCTGATGAGTCGCTTTCCTCATCAAGTACGTGAGCTTATGGGCATTGGCACACTCCATACAAGCAACAAGAGCCATGAGCTTCTCCGCATACGCGGCTGCGGCCATGTTGACAGGCGCCCCGTCCATCTCAATGAACGCTCGACTGAACATCTCAACGGTGCGGTGCCCCGTTTCGTTCATCCGAGTAGTATTGCCAAACGTCTGGCACCCTGACATGTAGCCTCGAATAGTGTTAGCTGGTCGTGGTAGGGTCACAATATCGGACAAGTCGATTGATTGACGGATCCCGAAAGCTACCGATGCGCCTTTGGCATCTCGGGTGAGCCCCGAGCCTTCAAGAAAGAGAAAGTCACGGGCTTGACTAAACCGGCCGTATGACTGGAGACCCCACTTGATGCCAACGAAATCCAGCGGCCGTTCAGGCGTTGGTCGCCTTAGCACCGCAATGAGACGGGCGTCATCGAGCTCCGTTCCAAGGTACGCTTCCCGTATCCGGACGTTCATCTCCGAGTCAGCAAGCATCCCCAATGCGGCATCGTCGGCCGTGCCGTTAATACTGCCCGAGATCACGACTGCCGGCGGACGAGCCGTCTTTTTCGACTTGTTGCTATGGTACTCACTAGCTGAGGAGGTCGCCGACCCGAGACAGCCACTTCGATCCGGTGCTGACCTTTGCGAGCTCGAGTGAGACGAGGTGGGGGACGAACACCCCTTGTCCGACGTCCCTGTTCGCGACTCCACGTGGTCCACTGGTCCATGCAATGCTCGACGCGAACGGTAAGCTCGGACGTCATCCATCGTCTTGACGAGCTTCCATGAAGTCGAGTCCAGTTGACGGCCACCTGCTGCAAAGGCGCTGCGCAACTCGAGTGTATTTTGTACCACGGCTTCGGCCTCAGCGAGCAGAGCTGCCTGTCGTTCCGGGGTGATTGTAAACTCGGGCAGATCGACCTCCTTGGCGTTGAAGCGGAGCATCATGGTGCTGCTTGGGTGGTAAAAGCTCAATTTACAAATGCCCGACTGAGATTGCGGAGACCGCGGGGGAGGATGTTGGTCAATTCGTTCCGCAGCAACGAGACGCTTCTAATGGGAACCGGTAGGTAGTAGTACTCCAATAGCCACTTCCACTGTGCCTCCCTGGTGCTGTAACAACACATTAAGTGGTAGTTTCGAGTCTGACCTGTCCGCGTCTTCATTAGCAACAACGATGCTACAACTGAGGTTATAGCCTCATTGCGTACAAATGAAGGAGGGAGTTCACATCGTCGCGTCACCATTATTGTTGGAAAGAACGACTTTTACGCTAGAGGACTCGCACACAGCTGAGGGCGCGTTTTCCTTGCCTTCTTCTTATAAAGATCTACCTACTTGTCAGTGCAGTAACGTGGTGCTCGAAGCGACTTGCAGTTCAAGCCAGACGGTATCCGTTCAAACGTCGTCCAGCAGACGAGACGTGACGCCAACCAAACGACTGGAGCACAAGCGATTTGCTGTTCTTCTGACTGTTCCACGCCCACAGCAACTTCTTGATTCAAATGGTTCAGAAAGCACTTCATCGCCACGTGCATATGGACCCGATGCTTTGCACTACCTACCTCCGAAGAGGATAGAAGCCGTCTCAACATTCAAGAGACAACTTGTTAAATACAGGTAGCAGGTCTCAGTTAGTCTCTGCAGCCGATAAGGTTGACTACACAATGGCGTCGTGACGTTTTCTCAGCTCTCTCGGATTTGATGCCAAAGATGGGACAACTCTGCTCGTCGTCACTTCGCGAGTATACAATTTGAACGTCATGTCAGCCGAGTCAAGACTACCGGAAGCTTGAACAAAAGTCAGGTTTAGACATCTGTATGCTTACAATCGAGACGTTCGTGGTTCGGGAGACACCCAATTATTGCCAGCTCAGTGAGACTGATGTGTTCGGTAGGTATTAAGGACTCCTCTTGATCCAACCACCCGACTTGAAGTATACAGCGTACATCCTTCCCGTTCTGCTTCGAATTGGACGAGACGAAAGGCATTGTCCGCTCGTTGAAACACTGACTAGTTGTTCATTACCTAGAACATAGCACTTGACGACTACTTCCGTATTGTATTGATTGGCTGCCTCACTAAGTGCTCGGAAAGAGGTCAATCCACGTGACAAGCCAAGCTCGTAGCAACATACGCATCCGCTGCCTGGTGGTAGTGCTTCTGTTGATGTTCGTTGATCGAATCGGCATGATGGCCAGCTTCGATTTGCCTCAACTCGAACGTGGGATCTACGTGTTCCCGCAAAAGTTTACAGCGCCATCGATCCGACAGTTCATGGCGTAGCAATAACTCTTCCGGCCGAAGAGTCACTGCTGAAATCGGCTCTGCCATTCTGTTAGTCAGGAGACTATCTCGCGCATACATGCATACCCCACCAACACGGACCGAAGTATACAACGCAATTGATTGCTGACCTGACGTTGCACTCTCCAAACGTGGTCGGTTTGGAGTACTGGAAAATGCTCGAGTATACGCGGTACGAAGTTGGCAATCCGATGTCGGCCGAAGGCTACGCGTGACCTCGTATGGCAAGATACAAATCAGGCTTACTCCTCGCGACAGCACATAAGAAGTTAGGGTCCCCGTCCTCGCCGATGGGCTTCATCACCTTTTTCGTATAGGATGTGCGTCAGGGCAAGCCAACTTAAAGCCCAGCCTGTAACCCTGCTGACATCAACTTCTTCATAAACCCGGTCAGGTTTTACGCGATGGGGTCGACTGTATACTTCATCAAGTCTTTTTTCGCGCTTATTGAAAAAGCTGTATCAATCCTGTAACAAAACTGGAACTCGCCAGGATCTACATGCGCACAACCTTGAACAACATCACATCGTCAAGTGGACCATGTCGTTCAATCAGCATAAAATTGGTCTTTCCCTTACCAGCTTGAAACCAGTCTATGTTCCCATCGTCCACTCGATTAGACCTCTATGCTCGGCTAAAGAACGGTCGCTTCCCAGCTGTTGTCATGCCGAAGCATTTACTGAAGACGCGGAAAAAGTTAAAAGACACGGACTGTTGACTCACGTACACCAACGGTGGGATGTGGTCCTGCAAGTGCCTTCGCTACTCTAGGCTTCACTGCTTGCATTTATGACCACGCGAATGCAACTCCTTTCATTCATGACGAGGTCCCAAACGCTCCTCTTCGAGTCTAACGAGATGATTTGTGACCCACTCGAACCTGTAACAAGCTAATACATATGTCACCACTTACATGTCAATGCTCAGTCCACAACTTTGAAACCAACCCACCTAAGTCGGAGAGGCTCGCGGTAGACATGGACTAAGCACAACAAGTTTACTAATCTGAAGTCCATTGGACTACAACGAGACGCTCCTTTTGTCAACTTTGCAGGAAAAAGCTCTTCGTCATGAACAAACTAACGTTAAAAATTGGTGCAAAGTGGAGACAACCACCACTGAGTACAGAACACGTCGTGCTTCGCAGCACTAATACGACGGGTTCCACGTAAATACCCAGAGAGATGTTCCATGCACAGGTGAGTATGAGTACATTACGCGTTCAGGCTTTCCACAAGTTACATCAAACAAGTGCCTGTGCAAACATAGTACCAAAATTTAACAAACATTCTTGATCAGTCAGTGCCAACAGATAGGCAAAGAAACTTTCAAACGTACATCTTTTGACAGCAAATATGCGAACCTTCACTCCCTCCTCTCTCTCCTTTTGTTACTTGTGTGGGAAGACCCTCACACCTCGATCACGCTCGGTAGATCCTCCTTACCAACAATGCGAGCGAACGGAAACGGACCGACGAAGTCATACCGCTTCTGCTTGCGTGTCGACCTTTCCACGTCACTGTAGTCCAGATTTGGATACAATGCTTTGTTCGCTGCATACGACTGCGCGTGCCACTCAATGTCAAAATCGTTGACGTAGAAACTGCCAAACTGGGCCTTGTACTGCCGCTGCACTTCGTACGGGTAAAAGTAAAAGCCACAAGCGTCCGGATCGTTCTCGCGTATCTCGTCCACCACGGGAGACAACACGTACGCAATCTTCTGTGCCAACAATGGGGGTAGACAGAACTCTGACGACTTGCCAGTCACCGTGTTGTACTCGAACAAACACATGCGTAGCATACGATCACCCCAAGTTGTCGTGTTGCGCACAAAGTACGTATAATCGTCATTCACAGCGCAGAAGAACGAATCAGTGCAGTGCAAGTGCAGAGGCTGGAAACTCACCCTCGCATACAACTCCGTCTCCTGCGATAGACACGAGTCCACACCGATTCCAGGGGAGGTTGAGCGATCAATGGGCAGCGGAATGTTCATGCTCGGATCACCGTGGCGTTTCGAGCTGATGACTTCATCCGTATTGCCACACTGGTACCAGTTCTCGGGATTGCGGCTGTTGGGGCAAATACTGGCCTCCTCCCATTCTGTGATCTCCTGCAGCCAGTACTTGAGACTGTGGCTACCTCGAGCATGCATTGGTCCAAGCGCTGGGTGAATGCCATCAAACCACGAATTCTTGAGAATAAAGCCACCAGTAAAGCCTTGCTTCGTTCGATAGAGGTCATTGTAGCCAACAAGTGCCATGACATGTCCACCTTCAGGGTTCATGACGTGACTAGTGATGAACTCGCCATTCATATTGTAGCTCTCGCCCTTTTCAAGGGGAACACAACACGTCGTCATGGACAGCTCGGGTGGACACAGCGAGCACGACGTTGATGCAGGGTCGCACTGATCTTCGCCAGCACGTTTGCCAATGCAAGGATAGTAACGCGTTGTGTACGGCAGAGCCGTCGTGAGCGACATGACTTGACCGTGGGTCATCATTGCTCGCTTGATCGATGCTTCATCCATGAGCGTCTCCATGCTCCTGATCGTGAGACGCAGTGGGTTCACTTTTCGGTTCTCAGGCGTGAGAGCAGCACACACGGTGTCGTTCCTGTCATTGTACGGGTCGTACGCACAGACCGAGTCAGGATAAATGTTGTCCTTTAACCCGTTCATCAAGTACAAAAGCAGCGTGGCGTCGCCGCCTTCAGTCGTGTTTTTCCACACACCATTGCCAGGAATCAAACAGGCCACTTGTTGCGGCGAGTCAGCTGGACCCGCACATAGCCGCAGCACCTCAGCACCATAAGCTTGTTCAGACAGAGCTAGGTACTCAGTTTTCTGCAGCCATCCTCGAGTAATTCCTTGCTGCCGGAAGCTGTTTTCCAGTATAGCAATCGTAGCAAAGTCCCAGCATGTCCCACGTTCGTCTTGAGTCTTGAGTGGCGTGACATGATCCACAGCAAAAGACGTCCTTGAAATTAAACTGTCAGCCTGGAATTCTACTGGTGGTACACGCTGCTGCGTCAGAGCTGCAGCATACACAGCTTTGCTAAAGTAGACACGACACAAAAATAGAACCATTTTCTAAATTAGTCACTTTGTTGGAAGAGCTGTCAAATAAGAATGGGAGGATGTCAAATAAAAATAGGATGCTGTAAATTACGAACAGCTCAAGTAAGTGGTGCTCGAGCTTGGCCAGACGTTCCTGTTGAGCAGCTAGAGACGACTGTACAATCGCAGCAAATCCTGACATGGCAACGACTAGCGTGGCAACAAGCGCCATCGTTTTCCATGATCGATTCGTACGCGGTGGTACTTGACTGACAGGGCTGGACATGAAGGGGTCGCACTCGCCTGTGAGTCGCATGGCTCCGTAGCTGCTGGACATACCGAATAAGGATCAATGTATCAGAGAGGCGGTTTTTATGTAAGATTAAAAATATTGGAGGTTCGATACGGGAGACTTTAAAAAAAGAGCCGACAATAAGTCTTCAGTTTTCGCAAATGAGCCTTCGCCTCATACATAAATCAGGTAATGAAACCTGAAACCCCCAAAACTTGTTAAAATTTTAAGATTTTTCTTAATGCTCCTGATTTCTAAATGTTTACAGCTAGGACTGAGCCAGCCATATCCGCAATCTCTACATAAAGCGGCCCTCCAACAGGTGAGAGCAGTTGAAATATAGGCTCGCACCATCTAATGAACTACAGGCTCGCACATCCATATACCATCCCGCTTTTCATTACTTCCCTCTCACTTTCAAGTAGACCACCCCGGATAGCTCCGACGACGGCACTTCGTTTATGTTACAAAGCAGACCATCATCCATACCGACGTGTAAATAGATGATCGTGAAAAAACAATACGCATGTAATACACTGCTCCAACTCTAGTTGTGCTCGAGTGCTGTACAATATAAACATCATAATGAATAGCCTGCTACGAACAGCGCTGCACGAGAATGCAGATTATCTGCTTTAGCCTAACTGTCTTTGCTGTTTTTCACCCTTTGTTACCGTTTGGTCGTCGTAATGTGGTCTTCCAGCAGTTCATCTCTTTAAGCGCGTGACAAGCTTTGTCAACAGAAACAAAGAGCTCTCCTGTGATCTGGCCAAAGTCGACCGATGGACGTTTTTCTGAAGCGAGCAGCAATAATATTTGACCATTTAGGGGGTTTCAAATCTAATTACTTGTTTAATGTATGTGGTGAAGGCTCATTCGCGAAAACTGGAGGCTAATCAGCTGTAACTGGGCACCCTGAATGTAACGGGGTGAATCGTTACATAACAATTGATAAGAAATTGTTAATAGAATACAACTATAACAGTTATATCCACAGAATATTGTCATAAGGACAAATATTCTGCAGCACTTACGAGTAGTTCCTAATCGGTTGATATAGGCCATTATATCAACCAACGAAGACGAGCTACGACCGACGCACGCAATGAGTGGTGAGCAGATAGTTGACATGCACATTTGTATTCAGACATAGTTAGATGAGGATAAATAGTGATTTATTAACAGACATTAACTATGATAAATACAGTTCTACTTTTTACTTTAACCAAGTACTCGCTTCTTCTTACCGTCTTCCTCTGCACGTACGAGTGTACGTGAAGTTCCGAGGCACCGCCTTATTCTGTCGTCAGAATAAGTAGCTTGTACTGTTACCAGTACAAGCTTCAGGGTGCCCCGTTACACCTGGTAGCACTTTGTAGTCCGTCCAAGGACCACGTTCACATCTAACATGAATATGTTAGATGATGATGATGACCAAAGCTTTCACGCTACCCGTGACGGCTGCTCCCATTTGAGCGATGTAGAATGGGATGCGGTTGAACGAATGGGTTCAACCATGGGCATCCATGCTGTTGGCGTCATGCTAGAGGCTCTCAATAGAGATGCCCAACATGCTACTATCGCCAAGTTCATTTAAAATGAACTTGACGCTGAACGCGAGAAAGTATCCTTGCTTCACCAACAAGGTTCTCAACAAACAGAGTTGTTGAGAGAACAGGGTGCTCAACAGTTCGAACTATTGATACAGCAGCAGGCTGCTGCTGGTGGGTCGATGCACTCGCGTCGACCCGAGACCTTAAAGATTGACATCTCTAAGTATAGGGGAGTCGAAGAGGACTCCCTCTTGAGATGGTCCGTCGAATTGGATGACGCCATAAGGGCGCGTCGCATCGACGATGGGGAAATGCAAGTTGCATTTGCCCAGTCAAATCTGGCAGGACGTGCCAAGACTTGGGCACTGGGGCTCAAGTTGCACGACCCATATGCGTTTGGGTCGTTGGAAGTCTTCAAGTCGCGGCTCAGACAAACGTTTGAACAGCCTAGAGCTGAGTTCAGAGCTCGATTTGAACTCTTGAAGCTCAAACAAGGTAAGCGTGATGTGCACGCTTACGCGCAACATATACGACATCTCACGAGTTGTATAAGTTCCAACCCGGTGGATTAACACACGTTGATTTCGGTGTTCATGCAGGGTCTTGCGGATGTTCCCTTCAAGACTCACCTGTTCCGACTTGAACTAGATTCACTAGAACAAGCCATTTCTATTGCGTAACAGGAAGACTTCAGTCTGAGACAGGCTCGCGCCAGCTCGACATCAAATCGTCAACCGAGACGATATGACAGCGGAGGTCCAGAGCCGATGGAACTCTGTTATGTAGAGAGCGAGAAGGCTCGCTCTACAGACTACAAGAAGTTGCAGAAATGCAACAGATGTCAGAAGACAGGACACTACGCTTACGAGTGTAGTTCCCTTCGTCCAGTGTCTCGCAACACTGGGCGTAGTGACCGTCCACCCATGAGAAAGGGGCAGGGACGCGGGTCCGCTGTTGGTGCAAAGACGCAACAACGGGATGGACCGTCAAAAAACGGACAGGATCAGTAGGTGTGGAGCACCCTACTGGTCCAGCAACGTCAAGAGAATTTGTAGGCCTCTTGATGAAGGTTGCTCCCAACACACAAACGTTGTGCGTTGCTGCTCTAGGTAATGAGATCTCACTCATTACCTTGAAACTCGAAGTGACAAATAAGTTGTCCCTTCGAGCTCTAGTCGATTGTGGGGCGTCCAACAATTTTGTGCGACGCCAATCGCTAGAAGATGGTCACTTTAAGTTCAGTGAATGTGACACACCTCCTACGAGGATTACGGTACGTCTTGCGACAGGCGCATCCGTAACCGTCATGAAGTGTATAGTGAAGATCCACTATACGCTAGAAGATGCCCAATATGACGATGAATTTATCGTAATGGATTTGGATGACAAATTTGATGTCATCCTTGGAATACCGTGGCTCAGAAGGTACGAACCACGGGTAAATTGGCAACATTGAACAGTAACGATGCCTGCCGCTTGTTCATCAGATGGCTATCTGATGAACGTTTTGGAGCGTCCACAAGCGTGTGGATGTACTACGAGTGAGTGCGGTGGCCTCACTTGTGGTATGGTCGTTAGTACGACTGCACAAAACCTTAGTGTAACAAACGGTTACACTTCGGAGCAAAGTTCCGGCGGCTGTGAGGAAACACAGGCTGCGCCGAAGGTCCACCACTCGAATAAGTCGAGTGGACCGGGACAAAGATGTATCCCTAGCGGGGAACATCTATAAGAGAAACACTCGATCGCTCAGGTTAAGCGAAACGATAATCCTAGATCGACTGGAGAGTCTTTCGTAGAGGATCTCGCTGTGGTTGCGCAACCCCAGCTAGAGGAAGTAAAGATAATAAGTCCCGGTATTACAACTACGGCGGAAATAAGTTCCCCGAAACCCGCGGGAATAAGTCCCCGGGAAGACGAAGGAATAAGTCCTTCGAGGCCTGAGGGAAAGAGTCCCCAGGAAATGACAGATACATTGAATGTCATAGTCAATAACGGATCAAGTGGGGCGCGTATACACTTGATCTGATTGTGACTCCGAAGTTGACTTCGGAGATCACTCAGTTGCCAACGCTCGAACATAAAAGGTTCTTGCGTGATCTGCGTAGTGGCAAAGTCAAGCAGATCTGCTTACTCGTCGCTGACGACGAGTGTGTAGCCGACATAAGGTCAGCAACAGTGTTTACTGAGAACGAGAGAGTTCTCAGTAGTACATCGATGGACGAGAGAGTTCTCAGTAGTACACCGATGGACGAGAGCGTCCTCGATGAAAAGACACGAGTTGAGCGATATGACTCCCAATCGTGGGAATCGCTCAATACAAATCCTCTCTATGAAGATTTGGTTGAATTCAAGGATGTATTCCCTGAAACGGTTCCGTGCGAATTACCGAAGGATTAAGGCATTCGACACGAGGTCGAGCTTAAACCAGGCTCAAAGGACTGTGTCATGAAGCAGTGGTCACTGCCTCGTGAACAAGTACTTGCAATCGACAAGTTCTTTGCCGATCGTTTAGCTGAGGGCTATGTGAGGGGATCAACGGCCCCACATAGCTATCCGACCTTCTGTGTGCAAAAAGCAACAGGAGGGTGGAAGATAGTGCATGCATTTAACAATTTGAATGCTGCAACAGTACCGGCTCAGACGCCGATACCAAGGAAGGACGTAATCATTGATGGTACGTCAAAGAGTACCATCTTTTCGTCCATAGATTTGATGGATGGCTTATATCAAATCCTTATGCGAGAACGGGATATACCCTATACCGCAGTTAGCACGCCTAGCGGCATGCTCTGGGAATGGCTAGTAATGCCACAAGGGCTTAGTAATGCCCCAGCCACGTTCAACAGATGTGTATCACATCTGTTGAGACCAGTACGAGAATTCATGCCTAGTTATTTCGATGACGTATTCATCCATAGTCGATCTAAGGATGGAAAGTCGGACGTTGAGGTTCACAGGTACCACGTCCGACAGGTTCTTACAATCATGCGAAAGCATCAATTGTATGCAAACCTCAAGAAGTGTATATTTGCAGCAAGCGAAATACCACTTCTTGGGTGCATCGTTGGTAAGAACGGTGTACGTCATGATCCCGAAAAGATCAAGGCGATCACCGACTGGCCTGTGCCGGTCGATGTCAAAGTTCTTCGAAAATTCCTTGGGCTAGCGTCGTATTTGCACAAGTATTCACGCAATTACGCCGAGACGATTGTACATCTCTCTCGTTTGTTGAAAAAGAACGAAAGGTGGTTATGAAACGCTGAATGTCAGCGCTCCTTTGATGGTATCAAGAAGAGCTTGATACAATCCCCAGTTATAGCAACAGCCGATCAGGACAGGCCATTTCATGTCGTCTGTGATGCCAGCGATTTCGCAATCGGCTGTGCATTAATGCAGTACGATCTTGAAGGCGTTGAACGCGTCGTCTGCTATCAGTCGCGTCAGCTGCAACCAGCTTAGCGGAACTATCCAGTGCATGACAAGGAACTCCTTGCCATGAAGTATGCACTCGCGAAGTTCAGAGTCGATCTATTAGGAGATAGACCCTTCATTGTTTACACTGACCATGCGTCATTACGCACGGCAGTGAACAGCCCGCACCTTTCACAACGAATGGCGCGGCGGTTGTCATTCTTTGCAGAATACAACTTTGCGGTCGAGTACAAACCAGGACGACTTAATGTCGTTGCTGATGCACTCTCATGTCGGCCCGACTCTGAACCAGTCGCGAAACCCAACAGTGAGACAGTCACTGTTGCGGTTATGACGTCCTCAGTCCCATCTACAACGCTGTATGATGATGTGAGGCAGGCATACGCCCAAGATGGTGATATTGTGAAGTTGTTGACACATCTCTCACAGCCATCTCGAGAATCGTTGAAACGATTGTCGCCTGCGTATCGATCTGCATCAGATCGATACACTACTCGCAACGGGTTACTGTATTATACAGCCGTTTCTGGTGACACACCACGTGTTGTCATTCCAGATGATACTGATCTGCGTTTGCGGATCATGTTCGGGTATCACGATGCTCCTATAGGAGGGCATCGTGGCCGTGAGAAAACATATATCACGGTGAGTCGAGACTTTTACTGGCCCGCCAGTATCAGTTTGTGCGAAAGTGTGTTCGCGCATGTGAAGTCTGTCAACGAGTGAAGTCAAGTCCTTCACTGCGTGCACCTTTACAGCCTCTGCCGATTCCGGCTGAGTGCTGGGAATCCATCTCGATGGATTTCGTCTTCGGGTTACCCAAAGACGCTCGCGGGAATACGGGTATTCTCGTATTTGTTGACAGATTCAGCAAAATGGTACACCCAGTGGCTATACCAGAGTCAATCACGGCAAGTGGCTGTGCTTGTGTCTTTATTGACACCATCTTCTGTCTTCATGGGTTGCCCCGTGAACTCGTATCAGACAGAGATCCACGCTTCACAGCTGATTTCTGGCGTTCCGTGATCAAATCACTCGGAACGCGCTTGAAGATGTCGACATATGATCATCCAGAGTCAGATGGTCAGACGGAACGAGCCAATCGTGTCCTCGATGAGATACTTCGAGGATACGTACAATCCTTTAAGAGTTGGAGTGAGTTCTTGCCCATGGTAGAGTTTGCCATTAACAACTCGGTGCATGCGTCAACGACACATACACAGTTTTACGTGAATAGCTTGCGCCATCCGCGTGTATCCACCTTACTAGAGTCTAACTCTGGTGTAAGGGGGGGGGCTCGCGCGAGCAAAAACCGATTTGGTTCACGCTCATCACGCTCTGACAATGAGGTCATTGCGTGTGATGCCGATATCGAAAACATCGATATCGAAGAAGATGATGCCAGTGAGAGTGCGGAAGCCCTCACTGAAGAAAATGTTGATGTTGCTGCAGTGCACGCACAGCGTACTGAAGCTAACGAGTCATCAGATGAGTTCATACTAGCTCGTGAAACGGTAGTCCGTTTTGTGCAAGACTCCATCGCCGAAGCGGTGGATAAGCAAAAGCAAAACGCTGACAAGAATGGAAGGGCAAACACTCTTTTATTTAACAAAGGTGACTTAGTCCTACTGTCTACGGTTAAGCTACCAAAGCATGTAGTGACTAACTTGGGTAGTAGTAAACTTCTACCCAAGTACATCGGCCTATTTCGTGTATTGCATCGCCTAGGCAATGCATACACGATCGAGTTACCACGTAAGATGCGAACGCATCCCACGTTTTACGTTGGTCGGCTTAAGCCGTACCATCAGTGAGCTGCTTCTTCTGATGAAGAATGCCCTTGCGCTCAAGTATCTCACAGAGAGCCTTGTGTTCCCGATGCTGGGCATCGACAAGGGTCTGAAGAGCAGTTATCTTATCCCGAGACCACTCAACATCCCCACGAGCTACCCTTAGCTCGTCACGCAGAGACGTCAGAGCTCTCTCGTTCTCAAGTTGAGCAAAGGCAAACTCATCTCGATGCTTCAAGACAGTGTCCGCCAGTTGGAGACGCCTGTCCCACTCATGATCGAGATCACCGCGTAACCCTTGCGTTACGCGATCAAAGAAGCTCTCGGGAACACACGGATCCCCACGATATTTTGGAGAGCGTCTTATCTCCTCCTCCACCTCCATTAGAGGACTCTCGCGGTGGCCAGCGCTATCTGGTTGAGCAGCTGTTGAACCGCCGCGACGTGAAAGGACGTCGGACGAGTGATCTCGTCCGGTGGCGCGGCTATCTCCCGTCCTGGGATACTTGGGAGCCCCGCTCCCAACTGTTGGTTGACGTACTGGGTCTGGTCGAGTAGTACGACGCGGCACATCCTGTGCCAGAAGGGCCGCTGGAGAAAGTCTTCCCGGCACGGTCGTAAAGGAATTTGAAGCTGTCAATACCTTCGTACATCTCACTAGAGATACGTACGCGCCACCACGGGCTAGTAAGGAGGTAAACCTCCTTAGGTGCTCGTGCAGAGTTGTTCACACAACATGGGCACGAGTCTCCCCAGGAGAGGCAAGGTAACCCTTTCTCCCTGGACAGACGATGCAGCTTGTAGCGTGCACCTGTAGGGGGTTCGCTTTTCAAACTTATCACGAGCTTTGATAAGTTTGTCTTTCCAAACGTCAGGAGCTACATCCTCAAGGTTATGGATGTAAGCGTTCCACGCTTTTGCATTGAGGTACCATCACTTTTGTGATGCCCACTGTACCATCGATGTTTAAAGAAAGCATCGATGAAGAAATCATTATCAGCGCGATAGTTTTTCGCACTGTGGTCAAGGTGATGGATCCTTGACGAATCGAATAATCGTGTTCGATAACGATCACTCGTCGTCGCCGACAAGTGATCCATGACGGATTTGGGAGGCATCCATGCCTTCTTCTCGGGAGTGAGACGCAACACACTGCGGTCCCGCTCTTCTTGCAACGTGCCGACAGAAGTACTGGCACCTCGTTGCGAAGTGGTGTCAATAGGAGAGCCGACACCACTGTTAGCACCCGAGTCTCGCGACCTCGAGCGCCTTCTCTTCGGCGATGGTTCATCTGAGTCGCCAGATGAACCAAAGATGCTGCGGCGCATAGCATCATCCATGCCACGCTTGGCAGGCGGCTTGGTTTCGATCGCCGCCGATACGGATCCGTCTTCCGTATCAGGAGAGTATGAGACACCGAGCTCATACTCTGTGAAGACATGAGTGTCTTCATGACCAGCGCCTGCATCACCAAGTGACACAGGCTGAGTCGCTTCAGCAACCGATGAGACATCAGTTGCTGTGGTTTCTGCTTCGGCTTCCGCACAGAGACGTGCGGACGCGCTCTAGGCGGCCTTCTCGCGCATCGCATGGGCTTGTTAACCATGCGATGAACTGTTGGAAAGTGGACTCGGACCATCAAGTGCAAACCCTGTCCCAGATGATTTGGGACGAGTGTCCATTCAGTCTCTAAAGTGACTGATGGTAAAGGGGGGGTGATGTAACGGGGTGAATCGTTACATAACAATTTATAAGAAATTGTTAATAGAATACAACTATAACAGTTATATTCACAGAATATTGTCATAAGGACAATATTTTACAGCACTTACGAGTAGTTCTAATCGGTTGATATAGGCCATTATATCAACCAACGAAGACATGCCACGACAGATCACGCAATGAGTGGTGAGCAGATAGTTGATATGCACATTTGTATTCAGACATAGTTAGATGAGGATAAATAGTGATTTATTAACAGACATTAACTATGATAAATACAGTTCTACTTTTTACTTCAACCAAGTACTCGCTTCTTCTTACCGTCTTCCTCTGCACGTACGAGTGTACGTGAAGTTCCGAGGCACCGCCTTATTCTGTCATCAGAATAAGTAGCTTGTACTGTTACCAGTACAAGCTTCAGTGTAACGGGGAACCCTGAATAAGTATCTTATACTAGTAACAGTTCAAGCTTCAGTGTAACGGGAACCCTGAATAAGTAGCTTGTACTGTTAGCAATACAAGCTTCAGTGTAACGGGGCACCCTGAAGCTTGTACTGGCAACAATACAAGCTACTTATTCTGATGACAGAATGAGGCGGTGCCTCGGAACTTCACGTACACTCGTACGTGCAGAGGAAGACGGTAAGAAGAAGCGAGTACTTGGTTGAAGTAAAAAGTAGAACTGTATTTATCATAGTTAATGTCTGTTAATAAATCACTATTTATCCTCATCTAACTATGTCTGAATACAAATGTGCATATCAACTATCTGCTCACCACTCATTGCGTGCGTCTGTCGTGGCGCGTCTTCGTTGGTTGATATAATGGCCTATATCAACCGATTAGGAACTACTCGTAAGTGCTGTAAAATATTGTCCTTATGACAATATTCTGTGAATATAACTGTTATAGTTGTATTCTATTAACAATTTCTTATAAATTGTTATGTAACGATTCACCCCGTTACATCACCCCCCCCTTTACCATCAGTCACTTTAGAGACTGATTGACTGAATGGACACTCGTCCCAAATCATCTGGGACAGGGTTTGCACTTGATGGTCCGAGTCCACTTTCCAACAGTTCATCGCATGGTTAACAAGCCCATGCGATGCGCGAGCAAGGCCGCCTAGAGCGCGTCCGCACGTCTCTGTGCGGAAGCCGAAGCAGAAACCACAGCAACTGATGTCTCATCGGTTGCTGAAGCGACTCAGCCTGTGTCACTTGGTGATGCAGGCGCTGGTCATGAAGACACTCATGTCTTCACAGAGTATGAGCTCGGTGTCTCATACTCTCCTGATACGGAAGACGGATCCGTATCGGCGGCGATCGAAACCAAGCCGCCTGCCAAGCGTGGCATGGATGATGCTATGCGCCGCAGCATCTTTGGTTCATCTGGCGACTCAGATGAACCATCGCCGAAGAGAAGGCGCTCGAGGTCGCGAGACTCGGGCGCTAACAGTGGTGTCGGCTCTCCTATTGACACCACTTCGCAACGAGGTGCCAGTACTTCTGTCGGCACGTCGCAAGAAGAGCGGGACCGCAGTGTGTTGCGTCTCACTCCCGAGAAGAAGGCATGGATGCCTCCCAAATCCGTCATGGATCACTTGTCGGCGACGACGAGTGATCGTTATCGAACACGATTATTCGATTCGTCAAGGATCCATCACCTTGACCCCAGTGCGAAAAACTGTCGCGCTGATAATGATTTCTTCATCGATGCTTTCTTTAAACATCGATGGTACAGTGGGCATCACAAAAGTGATGGTACCTCAATGCAAAAGCGTGGAACGCTTACATCCATAACCTTGAGGATGTAGCTCCTGACGTTTGGAAAGACAAACTTATCAAAGCTCGTGATAAGTTTGAAAAGCGAACCCCTACAGGTGCACGCTACAAGCTGCATCGTCTGTCCAGGGAGAAAGGGTTACCTTGCCTCTCCTGGGGAGACTCGTGCCCATGTTGTGTGAACAACTCTGCACGAGCACCTAAGGAGGTTTACCTCCTTACTAGCCCGTGGTGGCGCGTACGTATCTCTAGTGAGATGTACGAAGGTATTGACAGCTTCAAATTCCTTTACGACCGTGCCGGGAAGACTTTCTCCAGCGGTCCTTCTGCGGCACAGGATGTGCCGCGTCGTACTACTCGACCAGACCCAGTACGTCAACCAACAGTTGGGAGCGGGGCTCCCAAGTATCCCAGGACGGGAGATAGCCGCGCCACCGGACGAGATCACTCGTCCGACGTCCTTTCACGTCGCGGCGGTTCAACAGCTGCTCAACCAGATAGCGCTGGCCACCGCGAGAGTCCTCTAATGGAGGTGGAGGAGGAGATAAGACGCTCTCCAAAATATCGTGGGGATCCGTGTGTTCCCGAGAGCTTTTTGATCGCGTAACGCAAGGGTTACGCGGTGATCTCGATCATGAGTGGGACAGGCGTCTCCAACTGGCGGACACTGTCTTGAAGCATCGAGATGAGTTTGCCTTTGCTCAACTTGAGAACGAGAGAGCTCTGACGTCTCTGCGTGACGAGCTAAGGGTAGCTCGTGGGGATGTTGAGTGGTCTCGGGATAAGATAACTGCTCTTCAGACCCTTGTCGATGCCCAGCATCGGGAGCACAAGGCTCTCTGTGAGATACTTGAGCGCAAGGGCATTCTTCATCAGAAGAAGCAGCTCACTGATGGTACGGCTTAAGCCGACCAACGTAAAACGTGGGATGCGTTCGCATCTTACGTGGTAACTCGATCGTGTATGCATTGCCTAGGCGATGCAATACACGAAATAGGCCGATGTACTTGGGTAGAAGTTTACTACTACCCAAGTTAGTCACTACATGCTTTGGTAGATTAACCGTAGACAGTAGGACTAAGTCACCTTGATTAAATAAAAGAGTGTTTGCCCTTCCATTCTTGTCAGCGTTTTGCTTTTGCTTATCCACCGCTTCGGCGATGGAGTCTTGCACAAAACGGACTACCGTTTCACGAGCTAGTATGAACTCATCTGATGACTCGTTAGCTTCAGTACGCTGTGCGTGCACTGCAGCAACATCAACATTTTCTTCAGTGAGGGCTTCCGCACTCTCACTGGCATCATCTTCTTCGATATCGATGTTTTCGATATCGGCATCACACGCAATGACCTCATTGTCAGAGCGTGATGAGCGTGAACCAAATCGGTTTTTGCTCGCGCGAGCCCCCCCCCTTACACCAGAGTTAGACTCTAGTAAGGTGGATACACGCGGATGGCGCAAGCTATTCACGTAAAACTGTGTATGTGTCGTTGACGCATGCACCGAGTTGTTAATGGCAAACTCTACCATGGGCAAGAACTCACTCCAACTCTTAAAGGAGTGTACGTATCCTCGAAGTATCTCATCGAGGACACGATTGGCTCGTTCCGTCTGACCATCTGACTCTGGATGATCATATGTCGACATCTTCAAGCGCGTTCCGAGTGATTTGATCACGGAACGCCAGAAATCAGCTGTGAAGCGTGGATCTCTGTCTGATACGAGTTCACGGGGCAACCCATGAAGACAGAAGATGGTGTCAATAAAGACACAAGCACAGCCACTTGCCGTGATTGACTCTGGTATAGCCACTGGGTGTACCATTTTGCTGAATCTGTCAACAAATACGAGAATACCCGTATTCCCGCGAGCGTCTTTGGGTAACCCGAAGACGAAATCCATCGAGATGGATTCCCAGCACTCAGCCGGAATCGGCAGAGGCTGTAAAGGTGCACGCAGTGAAGGACTTGACTTCACTCGTTGACAGACTTCACATGCGCGAACACACTTTCGCACAAACTGATACTGGCGGGCCAGTAAAAGTCTCGACTCACCGTGATATATGTTTTCTCACGGCCACGATGCCCTCCTATAGGAGCATCGTGATACCCGAACATGATCCGCAAACGCAGATCAGTATCATCTGGAATGACAACACGTGGTGTGTCACCAGAAACGGCTGTATAATACAGTAACCCGTTGCGAGTAGTGTATCGATCTGATGCAGATCGATACGCAGGCGACAATCGTTTCAACGATTCTCGAGATGGCTGTGAGAGATGTGTCAACAACTTCACAATATCACCATCTTGGGCGTATGCCTGCCTCACATCATCATACAGCGTTGTAGATGGGACTGAGGACGTCATAACCGCAACAGTGACTGTCTCACTGTTGGGTTTCGCGACTGGTTCAGAGTCGGGCCGACATGAGAGTGCATCAGCAACGACATTAAGTCGTCCTGGTTTGTACTCGACCGCAAAGTTGTATTCTGCAAAGAATGACAACCGCCGCGCCATTCGTTGTGAAAGGTGCGGGCTGTTCACTGCCGTGCGTAATGACGCATGGTCAGTGTAAACAATGAAGGGTCTATCTCCTAATAGATCGACTCTGAACTTCGCGAGTGCATACTTCATGGCAAGGAGTTCCTTGTCATGCACTGGATAGTTCCGCTAAGCTGGTTGCAGCTGACGCGACTGATAGCAGACGACGCGTTCAACGCCTTCAAGATCGTACTGCATTAATGCACAGCCGATTGCGAAATCGCTGGCATCACAGACGACATGAAATGGCCTGTCCTGATCGGCTGTTGCTATAACTGGGGATTGTATCAAGCTCTTCTTGATACCATCAAAGGAGCGCTGACATTCAGCGTTTCATAACCACCTTTCGTTCTTTTTCAACAAACGAGAGAGATGTACAATCGTCTCGGCGTAATTGCGTGAATACTTGTGCAAATACGACGCTAGCCCAAGGAATTTTCGAAGAACTTTGACATCGACCGGCACAGGCCAGTCGGTGATCGCCTTGATCTTTTCGGGATCATGACGTACACCGTTCTTACCAACGATGCACCCAAGAAGTGGTATTTCCGCTTGCTGCAAATATACACTTCTTGAGGTTTGCATACAATTGATGCTTTCGCATGATTGTAAGAACCTGTCGGACGTGGTACCTGTGAACCTCAACGTCCGACTTTCCATCCTTAGATCGACTATGGATGAATACGTCATCGAAATAACTAGGCATGAATTCTCGTACTGGTCTCAACAGATGTGATACACATCTGTTGAACGTGGCTGGGGCATTACTAAGCCCTTGTGGCATTACTAGCCATTCCCAGAGCATGCCGCTAGGCGTGCTAACTGCGGTATAGGGTATATCCCGTTCTCGCATAAGGATTTGATATAAGCCATCCATCAAATCTATGGACGAAAAGATGGTACTTTTACCGAAAGCAGGATCGAGGAGGAAATTGACGTCGTCGATGGACAAAATGGCCGTCGCCGTGGAGATATGCGTGACGCTGATAGTAGACTTAAAAGACGCTGATGGCATTGTCAGAGATTGTTCCTTAGTTTGTTTTGTAAACGTGCTTGTCGACTTGGAAAGAAAACGCGGAATGCTTTGAAGTCGAAGTTGCAAACTTTGGACCGACGTCACATTCGGGCAGCCTTTGAATGAGAAAGGGGTGGAAGCCATCTGTCGGTTTGGACTTGATGCTTTTGTCAACAGTTTGTGCTGAGAAGCAGTGTCCATGACTTTGGCATGGCATCAAACGGCACATCATATTCACATCAAGACGATTTGTGCTGTAAAAAAATGGGCATGAAACTGTCGCCATCCCCGATTTCTGTATGGCGTGCGCAAAATGTCCGGGGCCTGTTTGATCGAGCCCACACGTTCATTGGGGTGCCTGCATGTGGGGCATATTCATCAACACAATAGTCTCGCTACTCGTCAGCTATGGGTACTGGCTGGACTGTCTCAAGTAGTTTATGCAATAGCAATGAATGATGTTTATGATAGGACATGATGTGATTCTGTATTCATTCGCAGTATCGTAAACAAGAGCTAAATAATGTCACTTCAAGATGATAGGTGGGACTAAACGAACGGGAGCCGTCGACGTGTGTCGATCATGCTATCAGGCTCAGCAATAGCCATTTTTGCGTTGACAAACTGTTGTATGTCTCACGAAGCAATCGATTCCGATTCGAGGGTCACTGACCGTCACTTCGACGTTCATTTAGGTCATGACGTGATGATGTATTCATCCGCGAGACCGTAAACTGGAAGATAAATGTCACCGATCGACCAAGTGTGGGACATGATCAAACGTAAGCCATCGACGTTTATTTGCTGTGTTGGTGCAGATTTGCTGTACACTCTGTACCGATGGCTGACATCAAATTGTTGCGCATATCTTGGTTTTAGATGGAGAACCAACATGGGCTTCGATTTCTAACCAACGATCTCCTGCTACAGTGACGTATTCGGTGTCTTACTGCAACCGCAGAAAGGGTTCGATAAGCTCGAAGAAGGCACGAAGCTTGCTTAAAAATTGTTCTTACTAGTATCCTTCAAAGGCAGCTGGTGGTGGTATTTTCTGCACAAAGAGGTGGAACAGCTCAATCATTTCTAATTCCATGCGAGATGCCGCGAGTTTGTTCCCTTTTCCTCGTCCTCACTTAGATAGGCATGCATCGAATGAATGTGGACGACATTTACAGCATTGCTTTATTTATTGACTGTGCTTGTCGCGCATACTGCGGAACTGAGACGATTAACTTGCGTTTTGACCATGAACATTCCCTCACCACCCCCCCCACTCCTTGTCACGCATGTCGTACGACTCCTTTCGTTTTTGGCATCATGGCAGCGCTCCCAGTCGTAGCTGCTCGGTCTCGCAGCATTTCCATTGATGCTTACGGTATCACCTGAACCAATAGCAGCGCTCCACCTCGCCCTTCTCCTTCGATCGGAGGCTTGTGAGCGCACTTACCGGCATCCCTTCCTCATCAATCATCTGTTCTTTCCATCTTCCAACCCCATGTTCCACGACATCGTTCTTAGCTTGCACGAGAAACACTAAATATGACCCAAGATGCGCAACGAGGCTTCCAGAGACAGTCCCACCAGCACAAGTGTGCCGAAAAAGCCTGCACATTTGATCAGTGAGAAAGGTGACGTTAGTCATGGCAAGCAAACACCAACACGACATTTCCCGACAATAGTTGAGCCGCACCGGATACGACTTGTGCTTTCTTTCCCGAACCACCCGTCGAGTACGTTGTACCGCTCCAAATGTAGCCCACCATGCGCAGCACGCCGGCAGCAGCTGCAGCTTCGGGTCGGTAGATCCTGTTACATGAGCAATACAGTTGTTAACTACACTTGCTCGCTCAACTTTCAAATTTCCTTCAAGCTTTTGTACGTACGAAGACGTGGCGAGCAAAGCATAGAACAGCGGCAAGTTCTCGGCAACGTTTTGCATGATGTTGCAATCTTGGACGCGCGGGTCCTTCTTCTCATTGACTGCTTGTGCAGCCAAGACTTTGCGTGTCTTTTGGTATCCGCCAATACCAAAGCCAGCCCAAGCGCGAACGAGACCGGTGCCGATGAGCACGAGCGGAATGTAGCCATGAGCTGGCTGGAGTGTGATCTGAACGGCCAACACTGACATGATCGGCGAGTAGACGAGTCGATGTCAAGTGGTGTTTGTGTCAAGCTTTGAGGTGCTCGTGTGCTATTGAAGGTCAAAGCCGTTATGACTACAGCGAGCGGGTAGAAGTCGAGCTTCTCTGTCGCCTGCTCACTAGAAAGAGATGATGGCCGACCAAGGTTTCGCAATGTCCTTTAGTTTTGAGCACGAACTCGTGTTGGGTGTAGAACGTATGCCATGTCCGGCCCATAAAGCTCGAAGTTTCGCAGATGGCACCTCGAATTCCGAAACCGCCTTTAACGAGCACTCGGTGGCGTTTTTGAACATTCGAAATGGACGCTGCTGACCTGCTTGGAAATTGTCCCAGCAGGTCAGCAGCGTCCAGGAAGTGTGGATTCAATGCGACAAATGAGGTTGGAATGTCCACACCTGCGTAGGGTACAGAACCTCCGGTCGGCGTATTGACGATCCTATTGTTGATAATGTAGATGAGGGTTAGACATGGAGAGTCACTGCAGCGCTTCTATCACTAGCACGTTGGTACGTGCGACGTATAGCAAGCTTCTCGCCATCGCCTTTTTCTTGATGGATGCCGTAGAAATCAGATGCACTGCGGGTGTTGCGTGACGGTTTCTCTTGCTATGCAAATAAAATTCCGAATGTGGGAGAAAACGCACTATATATTCCCAGCACTTTCGCCAATTCTTCACGCCGACGAGCAAAGGTGTATCGGAGCAGGTTTCGCACGGCGCAAGTGTGTGTTTTGTAAGGGATTGAAATGGTAGCAATCAGTCGGCGACACTGCTGCAGTAAAGCTTTTGTGGGTGATTTAATCTGTTTTTGTGCTGTTGGGCAAGAGGATGTCAGCGAACCGTACAGTTCCGCTGCGAGTAGATCGGAGCTCGAAGACGCAGACAGCGGTTGTTAGCAGATTAGAACATCGACGTACGTGTGCTCTGCCTCCAGTGTCTATCGCTATTCTGCTGCCATGTTTGACCATTAGAAAATATCTACCAAAAGCAATCTCACCCAAGAAGAGCAAAGACGTAACGCACTACCATTTATGAGCGAGATTTCAGTTTCAAGGAGCAAAATCGTCAGTCTATTCGCTGAAGACTGAACCCAGTCATGCTTTGATGGCTGGGTGAGACGCACGGTCATAGTTGCGATCAGCAAGAAGGCGAAAGTTCCCGAAAAGAATAGACAAAGCTTTACCCTCGCTGCCATCGAAACCATGGAATATATCACGTCGTTACTGGCTGCCGTCAGAATTGATTGCCAGCACGTTCGCGAAGATCTTCTCAGTAGCCTCGAATCACCGATACCTTATTGTGTTTGCGGCCTGAGCATCAACTTCAAACGCATCACGAAGTTGATGCACAGACGAAGAGAATAGCCTCTTAAAAGAGGCTATTCTTGCATGATGTTTACCGCTCAGCTGTTTGACCTCTTAAGCAAGTGCGATAGCCTACTTCTCAAGACTGCAAATGCGAGCGAGTGTGGCAAATATGGGTACACGTTGCTGTTACCAGACGTGCACCGGACGCGTTACCATTGTATTGCTTACGTCTTGCTCTTCGTTGGTGCTTCTGTTTGCTGTACCGAATGACATGCCATGTTGTGTGCACCGTTACTGTAGCATGAGTATTTTGGGATGCTGATGCAGTTAGTAAGCTTTCTCGTCGCCGAAGCGAGTTGCAAAGACAAATTTTAAGTAGTTTCGATACGATGAGTTCATTCGCAGTTCCAAATCTACCGTCAAGCAAGCGGTACTCTCTGACCACGCCAGCACGAGGTGACCATGAACAGAAGCGAGCGTTAGTCAGGAGAAACAGCTTAGCGATGGTTGTATCCATACCCGTATCGTCCAGCAAGTTATCACGGCTCTAAAGGGCTCGCTACAAGCAAATCGGTGGTAAACTACAGCCAAACAAAAGCAAAAAAATGATTACGGAGGACATCAAGGTACATAATGGTAAGCGATGCTCCGGCCGTCTAGCCACGGCCTTCTCCCCACACCGACAAGTGCGCCACCGTCACAAACTTGTCACTTTACCACTATCTCAAGACACTGTAGTAACCCACCCTAAATCGTTAGTAGTTGCTACACTATTTCGACGCACTTTTGGTTTCAACGAAGTCCCTCATTTACGTGTGGTTAGTGTCATAGCCCATCCTGCGCAGGGAAAGTATGGGAGGTGGGGCTCTAATGCACTCCGGATCAATGGTCTAATCATCGGGAACATACGTAGCCACAACAAAAATGGATGCGAGAACACATTGCGAACGGCGTTGTCAGTAATGAACACGTGTACTAAAATGGGTGTACACGTACGGGTACACAACATGTAATTAGGGTGGACTGTGCAACCTAAAAGCAGTGCTCTTGTACAGATGTCTGTACACCCCTTTAAAAAAGCTGCTTGATGGTTTCCACTTCCAACACTTACGAGAAGAGCTATTCACAGCCAGCAAAAAGTGCTATTCACAGCCAGCAAAATTGAGGCTTTCTGCTATGTTTTTATGGACACTAAAGGCTGGAACTGGACATGATCACAGTTGCAGGGTAGTGCCCATTCAAATTCCCTTGTTGTAGACGTAGTGGTGAACAGGTTGGCCGTATCGGTCCACTCGGGACTGGAACTCACTCTCAACACTGTCTGCCGAAATGGTTCCAATTTGGGGAAAAAGAGCGACAGCGCTCGGCACGGCACCCCATAAGCACAGCGTCAACACGACTGTCGTCGATACAAGCATCAAACATTGAATGTCAGCTTGTTTGCTTTGAACATAGGGAACATGTACCAATAGAGGAGTTCGACCTGCGACATGTCACGTACCAAGTTCAGCGGCAAGTTTAGGATACTTGCCCTTTGGCATGACGTTGGTTTTTTTCATCACCTCGTACAGGTACGGCGGTAGCAACAGAACTGAGAATACAGTGACAAGAACACCACGAATCAGAAAACACAATTAACAGACCGTTTAACAGAAGCAGGACGTACTGGGCATCGGAAGTGCGATCCGCGTAAGCGCCACTTGGCCAAGTGATTGGCGACCAGCAGCAACGGATCGTCCATGGACGTCTCCATGCTCATCCAT